TCTGGAAACACAGTTCTTGAAACGGGGTGCCAACGGAAGGCTTGATCAAGAATCCAAATGAAGGAGAGAATGATCTCAGATGCAAAAACAAGAAACCAAGGTAACAATGGGATTCCCCTGGTTTGTGAATCTTTAAAGAAGAAACACAATCTATAATAAACCAAGAAACATAAAGCAGAAGAATGGAGAAGCATGTGTAGTCTATTGATGAAAACCAAAGGCATGTGGACATGGCTGAGACTTAAAGGAAGAGTCTCCTCCATTTTCCTTTCTCCTTGTATGGTTTAATGGTTTGCTATATTTGCTCTTCAAAGTTGGTTCAAATGTGACAATTTACAAAGCCTAAGATTGTTTTTATTGAAATCCATTCGTTTGAAGAAGATAAGAGAAATGTGGAGTACTTTATGTCATTCTTACGTGAGCGACAAAATATAAATAATCAAACGTTGTTTGTTTCCATTGGCGGGCTCATAAACTATACGTGAGACTGATTAATAAAGAAAAGTCTTTCTTGGTGTGCACTGAGTAAAAGAAGTGAAACAAAGAAAAAAGATTGTGCAATAATTGAGGCCATTGTCGTGTGTGGCGTACTGATTCACCCAATGGAGAAAAATAAAGCAAAAGACAGAAATATGGCGCACAGAGTTAAAATGAAATGTGCATTTTAATAAACTTTCTCATATATGTATCGCATTTCTCACATCTTGGTTAATATAACAATATTATATAATGTATATAGATATTATATCAATAATTGTTATAATTTAAGCATGTTTAACAAAGAGAGTGTAACTTATGTGTGACCTTTTTGTTCTAATTTTTTAATGTAATTTTACTGTTAAAATCACTCGTTTGGATGTTTTTTTTTTTAAGAATAGTATGATATGTAAAATCTAAAAGTCGTATTTGTAAATGGATAAATGAAGCTTCAAAAGTTACACCGTTTGCAACTGCAGGCGTCGCACTGTTTTTGTAGCCGACATCCTGGGATTTCATAATCTGGTGTTGTGTTGTGTTGTGTTGTTTGCAAGCACTCCCACATGAAAATTTGGAAATGCTAGCTTTATGTCACTAGATATTTGTTACTTCTTTTGCTTTTAAGTCACGTCATGGTTTTCTAGTCAACATGTCATTTGTTGATTTTATTTTATTTTCTTCTTCTATATTAGGGGCCAAAGGCCCAAAAGTGAAAAAAAAAAAAGAAAGCAACTAACTAACAAAACCATTTACCAAAAGGAAAAAACATGACAAAAACATTAAATAAAAAAAACAATTAAAACAAACTTGACCAAAAAATAACACATAATTTTAGTATTTTTACTTAAACATTTTATACAAATATAATATAATTATTTTTTGATTTATATAGAATATCTGATTTTATACCATATCTTAAGACAGTATTACTTTTGAATTATTGCTGATTTCTCTTCTGCTATGCTACTTCACAACACTGCTTATATGAACAACTCTGGTCTTACGAACACCGCGAGACATGATCTTTACTTTTTCCTTTTTTTTTTTTTTTTTTTTTTTTTTCCAAAGGAGAGATCTTTCTATGACTTTTTTTTTTTACTTAAATAATATATTTTTAAAAATAATTTCTTCAAATAAGATTTTTTTTTAAACTAGTTCTTTGTTTGATACTTTTTTAACCAAAGTAACTGTAGTATCGCTTATGCATAAATGATAATAAATTATTATTATTATTATTTTAATAGATTATCATTTTAGTATATTTGATACTACACTAGATATTAAAAATGTGTCATAACTAAATATATACAGACAAAATAAAATGATAATAAATTATTATTATTATTTTAATACCTTATATTTATATTTTTTGTTATTATTTTATTACTGTGTCGCAGAGTAGTGGATACTCATAATTTTTATTATTGTTTTAAAAAACTATCGTCTAAAAATGTCTGATACTCTCACTATCCTATATAAGCAGAAAAATGATGCTTTTAGGTTAGATTTATTCCTCGCATGATTTGTATTGAACATGAGTATGGTCTCTCTCTGACAGTGTTTTCCTTCAGTTATCATGTTTTGGTTGTTGCATTCTTTGTCAGATCTACGATTCTGCATCATTTTCATTGGTCTATTTTATTGCATTGTCTGGATCTTATTATGTTTTTGATTTATGGAAATTTAATAATTTTTCAGCATTCAATTTCGACGTGCTCCATGAGATTGTAAATTTGGTAATAAGTATCTTCAGTTCAATTCCCTGTAAATGGAAGCATCCTATGTATTTGTAATATGATAGGCATAGGGTTAGATTTGTTTGCAATGTAGGGAAATAGGTTTGAGGGGTTTCAGCTTCTTGCAAATGCGTCTGCAATATTGAATAAGGATCGGTTTCTTGCACCAAGAGGATGAAGCACACTCATCATTCAATGCCTCATTCATTTCTTTTTTTCAAATTCAAATTAATTTCACCCCTCTTTTATTTATGCATTGTTACCCTTAAAATGTAATTTTATTAAATAAGACAAATAAAAATGTCGTTGATGCACCTATATAATATCTATACGGTAAAAGTATTAGATTTTTTAATGATAATTTTTTAAAATAATAATAAAAAATATAAGTATTAAATACTGTGTAATGATAATCTATTAAAATAATAATAATAAATACAAATATCAAATATTATGTGACGATGATAGGATGATAGTCTATTAAAATAATAATAAAAAATTACTATTATTTATATGAGTTATATTGCTACTAACTTGATAAAAATAAGTATTAGACAGGAAATTTATTTTTTTTAAAAAAAATACTATTTTAAGAAATTATTTTTAAAAATATATTATTTAAATAAAAAAGCCTCTTTCTATTCGTGTAGGTAAGTGAGTTTTTTTTAATAATTTTTTTGTTTCAGTTTATTCAAATAATATTTTCTATTTTAATCTTTACTTTTTCATAGATTTTTGTTTTTACTTTTTATTATTAATCTGGTTTATTAAAATATTGTCAACTATTAACTTTTTGTTGATTATGTTAGTTAAAAATATTAAATACAACAATTCGTAAACAAGTATGATAAAAAATTATTTAAAAAATTAAAATAAAAACTTTATTAAAATATAGAAATTAAAAATATATTTAAATCTAATTTATTTTGCTTTCATCTTTACTTTTTTTTTTTTTTACTTTAGTCTTTTATTTACTTTTTTTTAATATTCTTCTCCAATAGCTACATACTCCCGATAACTACTATCGCTTTTTTTTTTCCCCCCCTCTTCTTCTCCTATATTTAAACATTTATTTTTGTTGGGTAGTACTCCTTTTTACCCTCTCATTATTTCTACTCCCTTGTAGTAAGGACAGTATTGTATTTATCTTTGTTAGTCTAATTTAAACTTTAATGGAGCTAAAGTACTGATAGAGGCAATTAGGCCAATGAAAGAAGAAAAAAAGAAGAGAAATATTCACTTTGAGTTAGGAACTTACAATTTTAGAAACAACTTTATTTGGATGGAGTTTAGAGATTGTTAATTTTTTTTAATCTTGTTCTAGTCATTTATCTTTAAACTGGCATCCAATGTATGATTTGTTATGATTTATTTTGTAACATTGCATTATTATCCTATTATAATAATTATGTGTCTTTTGACGGCTTATTAACTTTAACCCAATATCTTTTGACCAAAGAAAAGAAATCCATCGTGAGATTGTTGACAAAAACAAAAGCCATAAAGATTTTTTTTTAAAGAAAAAACCTTTAAGCAAAGCATATATGGAGGAGAGTCAATGGAATTTGCCTTTAAATAAATAAGCACTCGCCAAAGTGAAAGCTATATGTAACATTGAAATATAATCGAAGTGCCAAACTTTTATGGTCTTCCTCATCTATGACCTCTGTCGTTCTTTTAGTCATTCAAATTTTTAAGCTTAAAAAATAAGTTTTACTTTTCTTTAAGGTAATATTAGACTTGACCTATTTTCACTTTTAATCACATTTGTAAAATCTATTTGATATTTTGTTATACCTTCAGGATATATATATATATTAATTTTTTTAAAAAAAATGATAAATATAATGAGTGATATCATAAACAAATAACGTAAACACAAAAGTTTGAAGTATAAAAAATCAAAATTGATCAACATTAAACAAGTCATTTTTGCTATGGCATGTGTAGTCAAGAACTAATTAACAATACTCTGTACAATGAAAGATAGTAATAAATCTTATTTTAAGTAAGATTAACGATATTAGTTGGCCATATATATACAAATGACAATGCCACCTGTCAGAGCTCAAAGAAACTTCATCGCCTTCCTAAACTCAAAATCATAAGTTGACCGAGTCATTTGATCAAAATGCTTGTCACTTTAATTTTAAAAGAATATATAAAATACGTCTATTGGTGATATAGTTATAAAAAATAATATTTTTAGATAAAAATAATTTAAAAAATAATAATGAACATAAAAACGTGAAAATAAACATATTATTTATCTAGACTTAAACTAAAACAAACAAATTAAAACACAAACACATAATTTGAGAAAAAGAAACTAAAAAATTACAACATAATGCTTAGTAAGCTAATTTTAATTGAAGAAAAATCTTGCCAATATTTGTAACATTAATTTAAATTGTGTTCATTTTACATGAATAAAATTTCAAATATTGTAATAAAAAGCTGAAATAATAAGAATATGAAGGGGGCATATATTGTGTAGTGAAAAGAACCATGCATTAACAGGGCGAGAAAGAAGGACTAAAAAGGGCAAAGGAAGGATCTATTGTCCCTCGTTTTCTTCGCTGTTGACGACGTTGGCAAACTCATAATCATTCACATGAAACTGCTGTGTCCATAACTAACAAAAACTAACATAATCTCAACATGCAACACACGCACCTCCCTTTTAAGACCATCAAAATGCACTTCCTCTTCCCTCACTCTCTTCCCCCAGACATATTCTGACGCGCCTCCAAATCCACCGTCACCGCCGTCCTGACCCACCACCACATGGGTCAGCACAGCCGCCGCGAGTCCTACCCTTCAACCACCTCCTCCCGCTTGGACTTACACCTCCACGCCCAACGCCGCCTCGATGCCGCCGCCGCTGCCACCGACGACCTCTCATGGCCCTTCGGCAAACTGTCGAGCTTAGAAGCCGACGCCGTGAGGGAGACGGCGTACGAGATATTCTTCACCTCGTGCCGGTCGTCGCCGGGGTTCGGTGGACGTCACGCGCTGACATTTTATTCGAACCATGAGAATGGTGGCGAGGGAGGGAAGACGAACCAGGTGGTGACGAAGCCCACGAGCAGGGTGAAGAGGATCTTGGGGTTGAAGATGCTCAAGAGATCTCCGTCGAGGAGAATGGGGAATAATGGAGGCTCTTCAACGCCTTCTTCGCCGGTGGGTGGATCTGGCAGCCCTTTGGCAAACACCGTCCCGGCGTTCAGACCCCGGCGGCCCATGACGGCGGCGGAGATTATGCGGCAGCAGATGAGAGTGACGGAGCATGATGATAATAGGTTGAGGAAGACCCTCATGAGGACCTTCGTTGGCCAAGTCTGTCTTCTATCTTATTACATTAAACTCATCTTTCGTTTTTAGTCTTCTGCCATTTGTGTGTGTGCTTAAATGACATATTTTATAGTAGACTTTTATAGAAATATAAAAGATCAATAATTCTTATATCAAGAACATGAGAATTATGAATATGAAATATACTACATGCAACAAAAGATTATTGATTTGACGTGAAATGAAGAAAACAAGTGTTAAAAAGCCAAAGATTGGGCCTAGCCATATATGAGATTTTAATGCATGGAATGTGGTAACTATATATTTTTATATTGCTCATGAAAATTTCATGTCTTTGTTGTAAATATGTTTAATTGTTTCTTGAATTTTAGATGGGAAGGCGGGCAGAAACTATCATTCTTCCATTGGAATTGCTACGCCACGTAAAGCCTTCAGAATTTAGTGATTCCCATGAGTATCATATGTGGCAAAAGAGGCAACTCAAAGTCCTTGAGGCTGGGCTTCTTCTATACCCATCAATCCCTTTGGAAAAGAGCAACACATTTGCTGCGCGCCTTAGGGACATCATAAGTAGTGGAAACTCCAAACCTATAGACACGGGCAAAAACTCTGATACCATGAGAACCCTTTGCAACTCAGTGGTTTCCTTGTCATGGAGAAGCCACAATGGTACTCCCACTGATGTTTGCCACTGGGTTGATGGATTTCCCTTCAACATTCACCTTTATACCTCTCTTCTTCAGTCCATTTTTGATGTCAGGGATGAAACATTAGTGCTAGATGAGGTTGATGAGCTACTTGAGCTTATGAAGAAAACATGGTCAACATTTGGTATCACCTTGCCAATTCACAACGCATGCTTCACTTGGGTTCTGTTTCAGCAGTACATAGCCACTGGCCAGATTGAACCTGACCTTCTTTGTGCCACACATGCCATGTTGAATGAGGTGGCAAACGATGCTAAGAGAGAAAAGGAATCTTTTTACGTTAAGATACTGTCATCAATGTTGAACTCAATGCATGGATGGGCAGAGAAGAGATTGCTCAATTACCATGATTATTTCCAAAGAGGGAATGCTGGCCAAATTGAAAACCTTCTTCCTGTGGTGTTGACAACCTCAAAGATTTTAGGTGAAGATCTTACAATCATTGATGGGGAAAGAGGAGAGAAAGGAGACATAACCATAGTGGATTCATCCGGTGATCGGGTTGAACAATATATCCGTTCTTCCATGAAAAATGCATTTGATAAGGTTTGAGCATAGTAATCTCTTGCTTTAGTATTCTAGACTAGTCAATTCTTGTAAATTGTAATCATATTTTTTGTGTGTGTAGGCATTAGAGGCAGTGAATGCCAAGCTTGCTGAATATGAAAGAAGGCAAGAATTAAGTGAAGTTCTTATTCAACTAGCTCAGGAAATTGAAGTGTTAGCGATGAAAGAAAGGCATCATTTTAGTCCAATACTAAGGAAATGGCACTCAACATCAGGTGCAGTTGCAGCAATGATGCTACACACCTGCTATGGGCAAGTGTTGAGGCAATACATAAGTGAAATGACCTCACTAACAGCTGAGTCAGTTCAGGTAATGCAGAGGGCTGGAAAGCTAGAAAAGGTAATCGTCCAAATGGTAGTTGAAGACTCTACAGAGTGTGATGATGGTGGAAAAACATTATTCAGAGAGATGGTTCCCTTTGATGTTGATTCAGTCATATTGAGTCTTTTAGGAAAATGGATTGATGAATCATTATACAAAGGCAAAGAGTGTGTGCAGAGGGCAAAAGAAACTGAAGTAAGTTTTGGCTTAATGATCCTTGTTCCTTCATAGTGAAGGGACATAAAAATTATCACAGATTTTGTTTTTTTTATCATAGAACATGTTTTTTAATTTCTTTTTTGGTAATCGCAGACGTGGAATCCAAAGTCTAAATCAGAGCCATATGCACAATCAGCTGCAGAGCTAATGGCATTGGTGGAAACAACTGTGGAAGAATTCTTCCAAGTTCCCATAGCAATTACAGAAGATTTAGTTCAAGATCTTGCTGATGGGTTGGAAAATCTCTTCCAGGACTACGTGAAGTTTGTTGCAGCATGTGGTAAGACCGTGAATTCATATAACTAATAGTACACAAATTGCACAATAGACTAGCAAAGTGTGTTCTGACCTTATTCTACCATCTTTTAGGTTCAAAACAAAGTTACGTTCCCTTACTTCCCCCACTGACAAGATGCAACCGAGATTCAAAATTCATCAAGTTATGGAAGAAAGCCGCTCCATGCAGTGCTGGTTTTGAAGATCATTCACAACACCTTAATGGAATACATGAAGGTCATAATTCTCGGTCATCAAGTAGTCGTGGCACACAGCGCCTCTACTTTCGTCTGAACACCTTGCACTATCTCCTTACACAAATACATTCTCTTGAAAAATCACTCTCTATGAACCCAAGAATTGTTCCGTCTAATCGCCTTCGCTTTGCAAACAATCGCAAGGCTCAAAGTAATATTTCTTCATACTTTGAAATAGTGAATTTGTCCATTCTAGCAGCATGCCAACATGTCTCAGAAGTTGCAGCATATCGTCTTATATTCCTTGATTTAAGTTCATCCTTTTATGACAACCTCTATATTGGTGGTGTATCAAGAGGTCATATTAGACCTGCATTGAGAACCCTTAAGCAGATTATCTCACTAACGACTACAGTTCTAACAGATAGAGCTCAGCCATTGGCATTAAAGGAAGTTATGAAAGCTTCCTTTGATGCATTCCTTATGGTTTTGCTTGCTGGTGGAAGCTCTCGAGTGTTTAATCGGTATGACCATGAAACCATCCAAGAGGATTTTGAGAATTTGAAGAAAGTTTTTAGCAACAGCATAGAAGGATTGGTAGCAGAAAATGTGGTGGATGGAGAGGCTGCAGTGGTGGAAGGAGTAATTGCATTGATGGGCCAAAGTACTGAACAATTGATGGAAGATTTCAGCATTATGACTTGTGAGTCAAGTACAATTGGTCTCATGGGTAATGGACAGAAGTTGCCAATGCCTCCTACTACAGGAAAATGGAATAGAACAGATCCTAACACAATATTAAGGGTGTTGTGCCATAGAAATGACCGAACTGCCAATTTGTTCTTAAAGAAAACATTCCAATTGGCAAAGAGGAGATCATAACTAAAAGCATAGATGTTGCATCTCTTGGTAAAGTTGAAGGTCAGACATCCAAATTAACAGTGCATTTTCAGCATATAATTTCTACCTTCTAACAAACAAGAATTTATGGTACTATGGGGAGGAAGCAGATTTGTATTGGAAAGGACATAAGTTCTAAAATGGAGAAAAAAAGGGAGTCAAGAAAAAGTAATTATGTTTCATCATTAGGCATTGTATATTGCAAACCGCAGAATGTGTGATGAATTTTACTTTTATTCAAAAAAATTCTTTAAATTTTTTTGGAAGAGAAAGAAAGAAGGAAAGAAACTTTTATACTGTGGTTAGTAGAACTCAACACTAAAATTATCTTTTTATTCAACAAGTTTATAAAAAGTGGAAGTTAAACATCATGAGGCAATACTCTCGTATCTCCAGTCAAAAGCAATACAGAAACAAGATCAAAATAACATGCCAAAAATATGAAAATAAAATTTGATCAAAATGCTTTATTTTACTATGCAGTTGCATTATTTGAACATCAAAACAATTGACACCGTATTTAATATTGTATACATTTTTTTTTCATATAATTTTTCTTTTGCTATCTACTCTTGAGCAATGCTTATTTTTCTAGCATGTTAATATTTACAAAAGCAATTACCAAAGTTTACAGTTGTCCTAGATACCCGCTATTTAGGGACATTATTTGAACATGGATAAAAAGGAGAAACACTTTTTGAACATATTTATTATACTACAGATGACTGAAAGTACTTTGCTACTACAACAGAAATTTTTTCTACCTTCCACTAAGACTATTTTGACTAGAATAATTTGTAGAGTCCAGAACATGTAGTTCTTTGACGATAAGACATCACATGCGGTAAAGAAAATAAGTAAATTTATAGGACAAGCCACATGAAAAATGTGGTCCATAGTGTAAGAGAGACTGAGGCAACGGCATAAGTTGCTAGCATAACAATTGAGCATTCAGTTTCACCAGCTCCAAATAATTGAGTAATTGTACCTGACAGAGTCAAAAAGTGAATATAACTATGGTATAGAATATAAAACGTTAAAACTACGATGGAAATAAAACGTGAAAATTTTAGAGTACACAGAAATGAAGACTTGTTCTGTTTAAAAAAAGTAGTTTTCAGTTGCAGGGTTATATCAACGTCAAAATGTGCATACCACTGCAGAGATTTCAGTTATTATGTGCATTATTAATCATAAAAAACAATATGCTATTTGCTTATCGAAATAATTTAATTTTGATGTAATATATAAAAGTTGTACACTTAATAAAAAAAAAATTTGTTAATCCCAACTTTTATAACAGAATTTAAACATTCACAAATAAAAAAATTTTATAAAAAAAGTATACGGTTATTGTATTGAAGTTATAAAAATATAATAAATATTTTTTTTTGGATAAAATTTTACTATTATTAATTGTTTATTTTTAACTCTAAGGGGTTAAGGAGTTGATGTTAACAAAATTTATAAAAAAAATACATTGTTATTTATTTAATGATGTTGACATTTACTATAGTCAAATTTATTAAGAGATCCACATGTAAAACTTGTTTAGATGTATCAATATTAAACTTTTTCATGTATATAAGAGTAATATACTAAATGAAAAAGTGAATTCTCAGAATCATCTTAATAAACTTACTTATGCTTATTGCTGGTGGAAGGGCATATTGAAGTAGTAAAATGAACTGGTATAATGGATCCTGGGGGACGATACCAAAATGGATTGCACCTTTAACAATGGCCACACCAACGATTGGTAAGAAAATGTATCTCACTAAAATGATCCCTACAACAAGTGAAATCTTCATTCCTGATCGTTTTAACCCTGATCAAAGTTAACCCACTATTTGTCAATAGACCATTTTAAAAATTACTGACCCAAAGATGCCCAAAAGGAACATTAAAAGATCATGTTAGATATTACCATTCAGAAGATTTGCTCCTACTAACAGAGTGATTGCTGGAATGGATGCGTCCCTGCAAAATGATTGTAATATTAATATAAAATGTGGTTTTATTAATAATAATATTCATTCATTAATTATCTTGATTATATACTCGCATGCAATTTGATCGTGATAAAGTTAGTTGTTACTTGTCAGCATATATTTTTACTTCCATAGTGTATATTATCATTCGAATGTTAGTTAATCAATCAAATAAAGCAACTTATAAGTACCCGATATCTACATTATGCCATGGTTATCAAGGCAAAGCAACTTACCCCAGCATGGATACAGAGTCTTCAACCACACGTAAAGGAGCATTATCGCCAACAAACATAGTTTGGAATGGAGGAACTACACCAATTATGAGACCAAGAATCTACATATGCAAAAAGATAAAAAGGATGTAACCTTGTCATTAAATAAGGTGACTTCGATAGACATTTGCCTTTTATCGTTTAAAAAATGCCAAATTTAAGTGAAATTTAGAAAAAGAATTTCCCTTTCCTTACCCACCTCCTCCCCTTCTATAAGTGTGCTTGTGACCAAATTTGGTCGTGGTGTAACAATTGTACATCAATATGAACTTAAGATGCCTCCCTTAAACTTCAGTGTTACAAATTTTAATGCTGATGTGACGCATGAAGTGTGATGAGTTATTCAGAACATTTAACTGGTTTATAAATGTTGATATGTATTGAATGGTGCCTAGCATGCCTTATGATTGATGATTCTTTCCTAGTTTGCATTAGTATAACATAACAATTCTAAATTAAATAGTTTTTATTATTGAACAGGTGGAACAATGAAGAACAAAAAGAAGACCAAAGAAATTAAGAGAACATTTGACATACCGATCCAATTGTTGCAGGTGCTAGTAGAACCTTCAAATTGAGATTTTCTACTAATGTTTTTATTGGTTTCGTAATTTGTGTTTTTTTTGGCACCTGCAAAATTACGGGAAAAATGTAAGAACTTCTACCTGATATTGTAAAACAATCTTAAGGAAAGAAGGGTACCAAAATGAAATTATATTATATGTCAGCACCATATGGCATGTCAAATTGCATGCCAATCCTATAATTTTTGTTGTTTTATCCAACTAGATAAACTATTTTGTAGATTAAAACTTGCCTGAGCTATTGACCATTCTTATTTATCAGTTGAGATCAAAAGTAAAGAACTCAGCATTTAAGAAGATTGAAGGACAAGCATCTTGTGTTGATATAATCGGTGATCAAAGGAATGATATTCACAAAGTTGTGTTAGAGACTTCATGGTGGAAGTGTTCAAAGGAGACTATTATGCATGCATACAGCTGCGCATAATGTACTAACCCTATCTCTTCCACCAGGCAATGTACATTCAACTTCAAGTTGAGCCACATGATCATTGGTCTCTGAGATGTTCTCTGCACTAACCACTGGTCCAACTGAAGATTTTGAATGGTTTTCAAGATCTGTTTCTGTTGCTGACATAGGTCTTAATGTGGAATCATCAACTTTGTTCACATTGGAATTCTGGCTTTCGGATGAATATATGCGGATAAGGGTGTACACAAAAGTCCAAATGCAGATGTTTCCAATCTGGTAAATCAAAATTAAGAAATGGAAAATCTTAATTCAGAACAATCAAGTTTTTTTTAAGAAGAGCCTTGTTAAAGACAATGTTCTTGGTTAAATTATCTTACTGCCATGGACAGAGAAGCATATGCCAACCCTTTTTTATTACATACATCCACAGCTCCAAAAGGACTATTGCTTTCTTTACAAACTGCTGGAACTATAATAAGAGGCATATTGCCTAGATTTCCTGTTAACATCAAATATTAAATAGTGAGAAAATAAAATTTAATGTGTCAAAACTGTATGTGATATCCCTTGTGCTGCTTTATATCTCCAAAAAAAATTAATTTACTGAACTTTGGCTTGATCTGATTTATTACAATAACTACTTAAACTTGTAAGTGGACCTACCTGCAGCACAGCACCCCAACACAAGGCCTTGCATATCAGGAGCTGCCTTAGTTATTTTCAAAAATAACCATCCTAGTGCTGTGCCAACGATAAAAGTGAGAAGAATATTCAATGGCATGAACCACCTTCATAATTCATAAAATCATCTCAGATAACCAATTAATGAAAGAAAGAAAGAAAGGGAAAATTGAAAATGCAGCAGAGTGGTAAGAAAACAACATACACCATAACCAAGCTCCTAAATGTTATGGTTTTCGTCAGGATGCTGCAAACAAGAGCCGGTGTGAAGACATAATATACTATCTGAACAAAAAGAATAAGAAAAGTCATTTAGTTAGTTTAAAGTCACCAAATAGTGTCCCTCTGTCCCATTACACTTTGGTCTTTTGGAGCAAGAACTATGAGAAGCATATGTATTCCTTTTATGACATTATACTCATGGTAATATATTGCAAGTAGGAATTAGTGCCATTTGACACACATTGACTTCGAAACAAGAATGATGTTTCTCTCCTAAATTTGGTAATAGAATGAAATAAGGTTCGTAGGAAATCCTACAACCTTGAGCACGTGATTGAAATCTATTAAATCTGGTAATAAGATAAAAATTATTTGTCTGTTTTAACTTTTAACCTGAAACCAATGTCCTTAAATTTGCAGGAAGTGTTATACAAGCGATATAATAATTTATTGCACTTACAAAACTTCAGAAGCTCCAATCTCAAAGAAGCGTCTAATGCATTCAAATCTATTAGTAGGACGGTTCTAAGATAAAATTGCAATGGAATGTTGTATTCTTATTTAATCTTGCACTTTAGTCAAAATAATTTTCAGATGTCAGTCCATTTTCATCACTGAGTATAAGTGGTTAACACAGTAAGAGTGGTTAATTCAATTAATTAATAATTAATTCAATGTCATTTTGAATTATCTATTTACTTTTAACAAGTATTGACAATCAGCTAACAACAATTAAATTCAGTTGAAGTGATCAGTGATACTGATACCACTCGATTGAATATATGTTTTAAACCCCAAATTTTGAGTAACATGTTATGCAAAATTATTCATGACAAATTGAATTCAACTTCTATAACAATAGCAGAAGACAAGATATCATTTATCTCTTTGTATCAGTAAGAAAAGATGGAGAAATCAGGAATTATATTATATATATTCTCCACTATCTTTTATAGGTCACTGTTTATGCTTTTAGTGTCTTCTTCCCTTTAAATCAAACATAAGAATATTGAAATTTTGGGGAGACATTTGCCCCGGCATGATTCTCTTCCTACCTTGAGTTAATGAGGGAAGGTAAAGAGAAAACTAGGCATAAATTTGACAAATCATAAAACATTTCGAATAGTTGTAATGAAATACAAGGAATAAATTGACAATTAAGTATGCAGAAGAAAAAGGAAAAAGATAGATTGTCCTAAACAAAAAAGGAAAAAAAAAAAAAAGAAGATAGGGGACCATTATATAACCTACTGTATTCAAGTGTTTCCTAGCACTCTCCCTCAGTATATTGAAGCGATGCAGTGCAAGAAATGCGCCAGCAGCAGTTATAAGTAGCACTTTAAGAACTGGCATTAATGCAGTGATGAAGAGCTTCCACAAGTGCATTGTGTCTTTTTACAACAACAAACAAGACTTAGGGTCTTAGTTCTTTACACTATGATAAAACTGAAAATAATATATATGCTTATTATAACGTCTATACCAATTATAGTTCTATATGAATCAAACTATTGATGTTGTGAAAGAAACATCATGCTTTTGTAAAGAGGAATTTGCGTAGTACTTGAAAATCACAGTTGTAAACAATATCTATAAAAAATATTCTAAACAAAGTGGCAGCAGAAAGTGCTATTATGGCACCTATTGTTAACAAATTGGGCAGAGAGTGGAGAAACCCCCACTAACACAAAAGGGGCTTGCACTTATGTAACTTTTATCAACCTTTTTCTTTGTTTAAAATTGAACTATGACATCAGATGAATATATACTATAGAAAAGGGAAAATCAAAAGCATATATTTCTTTAGTCACTATAAAATAGTGTTCATTGGAGCACAAAGGACAAAGTGATCCATCAAATTTAGGCGCACGTTTCATCTTCTGCATTTTGGTTATTTTTCTTTAACAGTTACAAATTATCAACCACGCAATAAAAAGAGAACCGGATTCTCGAAGCTTGGTATATTTTTTTCATGAACTTACGATTTTTTTGTCGATGTCTTGTATTTTGAGATTATTATACAAACCTATTGCATTATACCAATATATAAATATCTTTCATAATCATGTAAAATTAACACGCACCTATATATATATATATTAGATTTATAATTTTTTTTATCTTTACAATATTGTTTGAGGTAAGAAATTTTTTTTTAGTTATAAAATTCTTTACTAAACTTTCATGGTAAAAAATAGACTATGTTCCTTCGAGAAGATTTAGAGAATTGCAGAAGTCTCTTCAAGAAAGCTATATTTCGAACAGTTTTGACAATACGAAAAGATCCAAAACTGATTAAAAAATAGGATTGACAAGAAAAATATTCTAAATTCACACAAATGAAGGCCTTTTTGAGAAGTTTTTTTAGGAATTTTCAAGTCTCTAACACCTAGAATTATTCAAAAATCAGGAATCGTTAAAAAAATTATTCTAAAGTTCACAAGAATGAGCTCTCAGATTTTTTATAGAATTAGTCGAAAAGCAAATATTAAGGGAGAAATTATTCTAAATTTACATAACTAAAAGAGCTAGTAGATTTCTCTTAGAATTAGTTGAAAAGCAAAAATTGAGGGAGAAATTACTCTAAGTTCACAAAACTATATGAGCTCCTAGATTTCTCTTAAAATTGCTTGAAAAATAGGAAATCACAGGAAAAATACTTTTAAGTCCACAAGAGACATAATAAGTTTAAAAGAGTGATATCAAAAGAATTACAAGACTCAAAGCGATCATCAGTAGTTACCATCAGTGAAGGTTCAAAGAAAGATGTGAGAGATAGCAGTTATAAAAGAACCCACAACTTTTAACATAATTAGAAACGGTCGTAAATAATGAGAAGTAGCAGTTAGATATAAGATAAGCATAAAAAATAAATTACAATAGACACATTCCAATTAGTATATGGCATATTAAATTCTTTTAACACTCCAACAACATGGAAAAAAAAGTAAGTTTTTATAATTAGATCACACGGTAAAAAAATAAAGCATAAATGTGAATTATATAATCAAGATTTACTGTTTTCATAATAATAAATGAATAATTTTCATTTGATGTGTGCATTGAAGAAAAAAAGAAAGTAACTATCCCATGTTACATTCATCCTGCATGTTTATGCTATCTACTATGATTTACACGTAAATTGCAATTAACGCAACAAACACGAGTCCAGAAGTTGACGTCGCAATATTTTGTGCGGTTCTGATCTGTGTACTAATTTGAAACCGAATTAGAATATTTGAAATTTTTTTGTGAAGAAAATTTTAATTTTATGTTCATATAAACTCAGGTTTCAAAAGCAAGAACGAAAGAAAAACGAGGTACACGAAGTTCTTGTCCATTTCAATTAGCAAATTAAAGTCAATCTCATCAATATATTTTACTGCTGAAAATCTGTCTCCACTTAAATAAAATACTAATTTTAAGGGGAAAAAAAAAGGGCATTAATTCTGGCAATTATTGGAGTTGTTTTTCCAATATCAGTTGCAGGCCCGTAAAATGGGATATAACTTTTACTGTTTGTGGAGGAACAGTCAAAATATGATATCCCGTATACGATTTTAATATATATAATGCCCCTTACGTTAAATGTATTAAAGTCAAAAAGAAAAAGACAAAACATGAAGACCTTCATTTTCTGTAATATTCACAGAAAAATTACATGATAAAATGGCACACAATCACATTCGTGAACTGCAATTTAGTTGATTTATTTTTTCAATTAGATTTCATGAAACTTTAATTAGTCCATAAAGTTATAAACCTTGTCATTCCATAGTTTAAACCTTAATTTATTTCATTTGGTTTACCCAAAAAATTAAAAATTTAGAGTTACATCAACTACAAAAAAAAGTATGATAATAACAAGTATGAGAAAAAAGGAAAGACTATTATCAAGAATACCATTATTTAAGAGGATCACATTAGATAAAAGAAATCATGTAAATTACGAATTTCTTTGTTAGAAAAATATGAGCGCTCATGCATATAAATGTGCATGTGTACATGAGACTCATCACTCAAGGAGCTCAATAAACAGGAAGTGTCTCAAAATTAAGTCAAAGACTGTTTTCTTGCAGTTGTGTGAAAAGAAAAAGGGAATTTAATTACATCAAACTTCGATGGACCGATTCTCCAATATATTAAATTGTAGGGCAATAGCTGAGTTGGTACTCTGTTTTGAAAACCCTGATGAGCCATAAGGCGAATGTGGATAAAATATACCAAAGTAGACTTATAAAAGTCCGTTGAATAACGTGGAATTCCAATGGATACTAAATAAAGATAACGACAGGATTAATCTAATATAATGGTTAATTAAGGAGATTAGTTCTTATGTACATCTTAGCTAACAACGGAATCCGATGATGTTACGTCAAAAAATTGGTAACTACAGACTAAAAGGTGGGCACGATGCTGGCTTATTTATTTTTTTAATGTTTTTTAAAAAATAAATTCTTAAAATAATATTTTTTAAAAACAAATTCTCTGTCTGGAGTCTATTTTGCCACGACGAAATATATATATATTTTTAAATGTTATTTCGTCTTTAGCAGAAACGAAACTATCAGATTACGCCATGTGTCAACATCTGGTGTGTTTCGCTTACTCAGAGACGAAACTCAATAAATGGTGCCATGTGTCATGATCTGGATCAATTTACGAAAATGGTTAAAAAAAAGAAAAAATTTATATTTTAATATTTAATTAATATTTATTAAAAATAGAAAATTATAAAATTTAAGAATAAAAAAATTATATAATTTTTAATTAACTTAATTAACAACTATAAATATATTAAAAATGTATATTAAAATTACACTGTATATACTGTATGACGCAAAAAAGAATACCCGCTAATAAAATTATAAATTTATAATTTTTTTTATTTAAACTAGTTTGTAAGTTAGGTGTGATATTTAAAAATCTTAATAATTTATATAATAAATATGTATTTTTTATAATTTTTATAGATATTTAAACTAAGATTAACAAATTCTTAACACTATATTTTTTAATATATTTATAATTATTAATTAATTTAATTAAAAATTATCTAAATTTCAATAATTTATTCTTCAATTAAATATTATGATTTTTTTATTTTAATATATTTTAATTAAATATTATATATTTTTTCAATACATTTCCATTAAATTCCAATGCTGCCATTATAAATTTATAATTTTATTAGCAGATATTTTTTTTTTGCGTCATACATTATACATAGTGTAATTTTAATATATATTTTTAATATATTTGTAGTTGTTAATTAAGTTAATTAAGAATTATATAATTTTTTTATTCTTAAATTTTATAATTTTCTATTTTTAATAAATATTAATTAAATATTAAAATATAAAATTTTTCTTTTTTTTTAACTACTTTTGTAAATTGATCCATGACACATGGCACCATTCATTGAGTTTCGTCTCTGCAGTAGGCGAAACTCACCAGATGTTGACACGTGGCGCATTCTGATAGTTTCGTCTCTGCTTAAGACGAAATAGCATTTAAAAAAAAAAAAAAAATTCGTCCATACAATATGCGAAACAGGTCTTGACGTGGCAAAAAAGATCTCAGACAGTAAATTTATTTTTAAAAAACATTATTTTAAGAATTTATTTTTTAAAAAACATTAAAAAAATAAATAAGCCCACGATGCTATTGGTTGCTTACTTTATTTTAATCAATGAATTTATAAAGTGTCATGCATTGACTTGTAATAACCACACATTACTCTTACTTACTTTTTTTCCTCACATATTAATTAGTCAACTCTAATGTAGGAATCAAAGTCTATATAAGTACGATCATTCATGGAACATGCTTTAAAGATGAAACATCACTTATTAATATCTTGTATGAGAGAAGTGTAATTAGAAAAAAGATTATATAATTTAAATATCTGTCATTAGCCACTGCTTCATGTATTTTTTTTTTTACAATTTCGAAATATATATATATATATATATATATATATATATATATATATATATATATATTGGTGAACCATTTTTCCTTTTTATTTTACACGAAATTAACTTAATTCTCTCTTAATGATAAATACTCTATTTTTAAAAACCAAACTTAATTTGATTATAATAAGTATAAACTCCATTGATAATCAATTATTGATAAAATTAAACAAACAAAAGGGATATCCTGAAAGAAAAAAAATTATATATTTTAATGCAATAAACAGTTTATCTTCAATAATTTTTTTTTAATATATTTAACATCAATTCTAAAATATGATATTAGTAAACCGTATGATAAATATGTTAACAAAGTATATAATAATTCTTTTTTGAGAATTTTACGGGAAAGACATTTATTCTACGCTGTGCTTGGGTTGGGAAATTTTTAATTTCTAAATTACATGTATCTGGATAGTAAAAAATATTTTAGAATTTTAACTAGTAAATTTTTATGACAAATACAAAAAATTTTAAATGATATATGTTTAAAGAAAAAAACATTTTTTTGGTTATGCTTAAAATTAGTTATTCGAATTAACTAATGTATGTAGTGGCTATTCATTACTACTTTGATTGATATCTATGATTTTTTTATAAGAATCAGAGTTCAGAATTGTTACATTTTCGTAAATTAATATGCCCTTTGTCAATTCTTTCAGAGATGGATTCAAAAGTTTGACTGATACATAGTTTTTGTTTTCTGAAAGTGGATCTATGAAGTATACTAATTCCCGCGGCCAAAGAAACGCCTTCACGCAAAATATAATGTCGGCCATACTAAGCTGTTTATCTTTGTTTTATTTCACGTTTTTCTTTTCTTCTGACCAAACTTAATTCTAATACGCAAGTGTGAAACAGTATACAAATTCACCTTCTGAGTTGGTATCCACTTTAACAAAGAATAATTGAGCACCATTAATAAATTTCGATAATTGCAGTCTAAGAGAATCCAAACGTAATAACTTATTTTTTACAAGAGCCATGCTATAGCATTCTTCTCTTTTACAAATCAGAATTAAAACCTTATAAATTCAGTTTTACGAAATTGAGAAATTACCTCTCATTATTACCCAAACATAAGAAAACGATATATTAGTTATTTGGTGAAGTTTAATAAATTAAAATTATACAAATAGTACAAAATATTAATGAAAAAAAAAACTATTTGTAAATATATATATCCATGCACTTCCATCAGATTATTCTTTAAATAATATTTATACGCCATATATCAGCAGTACAACATATAAAAATATAACAAGAGTCTGTAGTATAGTTGTCTTACATTTGTCTCTATCCAACATTAATTAATAAAGCATATAATATAAACTGCAGAAGATTAACTCCATAATTAAGTACAAATAAAAATAATAATGATAAATAAACCAATGATCCTTTTGTTAGAAAACTATAAAATATATGTATATATAGTCTTTGATTACCATTCTCCAAAGCGTACTCTTGTAACCAGATAGGCTTGCATGCTTTAAGAGAATTTCAGTGTTGATTGGTTGCAAAACCAAATGGAACAACAAGACGAGGATAAGTTTCATCATTGCGGTGCTGAGCTTTTCCTGCAACATTCATCTCCCTCACAGGGCAGTGTGTGCCACCGCTTCCTGGGACATAGGTGCAGCCAGAAGGCCCTGAGGGAGGAACAGGACCCTTGTCTAGAGACATAAAGTTCAGTTGCTTCTTCGTGCTCAATACCCTAGCAGCTAGGTTTGGCTGAACATGAACTACAGCAAGAAGCAAAATCAGGGCCAAGATAACGTTGAGAACCCTCATGGTGTGTGTTTGAATTTTGAAAACTTGAGGAAGCAAGAGAAGTGATATGAAACATCTCACTGGTGTGGGGGTATTTATATTGGTACCCGTTTGAATTATGAGTCTAGTAATTTTAATTTGTAACTCGAGGTTTTATTCACTATTTAATTTTGACTGCTGATTATATGCTAGTATTTAATTAATTAATTAATTATTAGTGTTTGAGAAAAACTAAGAATCAAATATGAATTGGTCATATGCTGGAATCATGATGTAGAGAGTTTTTGACTTGATGTTTTAATCCATGGTTATCTCTTTCTTCCACTTTCTTATCCACGTAACTGATGTAGTCTAATTGAATAGTGCTATTAGAAAGGATTTGGATCATGAATTAATGATAATATAACTTAAAGAACAAGTTTGGTTAGTTTCCTATACTTGCTCTCCTTGATAGAGTCTGCATTTTGAGTGCGAGGAAGCAAATGGTCAAATTTGAGAAATTTCCTGGTGCTATCGTTAGTAAATATAACTATATGTACAGGGATAAATGATAGTATTTATATACATAAAAAGCATTGTATTATTTTTGTAATTTGCCTGTTTGGGAAAGAAAAAGTAAAGTGGAATATGTGTTTCGTTATTATTTTATTATTTTAAAAAATATAACTTTTTATATAGAAATATGTATATGATTTCAAATTTTCAAGTGCTTGTGCAGTTATAATAACCATATAAAATATCCATGAATAACGAATCCAAGCGAAGTTTACTTGGTGGGAACATTCTCAACAGGCACAGGGATTTTGTCATGCAAATTCAAGCGCACACGCAAGCATGCACCCGCCTCAAAGCTTCCACGACTTACAAGAGATATATCCAAGCAACTCACTTTTCCATGACAATAAGGAAATAGAAGTTGGTCAGATCCTGCATTTGGCATTTAAGGTGCAACTGCGAGTAACTGGATAGGGGAGTGGGGCAGGTAGCATAAAGAGAATCTAATCTCAAATATCACTATCACATTTTAATCTTTTAGTTACGCAAATGCTTATTAAACTGCATGATCAATAGAGAAAAGTTTTGATAAATTGAGAATATATTTATGTAAATGAAAAATATTTGATGTACCACTAAAGTCAAAATTATCTTATATTTTGAGTGTATTTTTAGGACGTGTGCATGCAACAACAAAAAAAATTAATAAGAGGCATATGATATCACATACCATCTTTATTTTGAGTAGCTCAAATAATAAAATTCTTAATCTGTAATTGAATTGTACACGTAAGAGATTAGCTGGCATGGTGAATGTTAGTGAGTGTTGTGCACTTAATTGAATGATCTACTACTGCAGGTCCTGGAATTTTGCATTATTTTCCACCCTCGTTTCAAAAAGAAAAAAAAAATCATTTTCGACATGACCACTATCCGTTAACTGATAATAAACAAATACGCAATCACCACTTAATGCTTTGCCGAGAGCAGAGATATCATTTCATCAGTGAGCTTAACTAGTAAATTCCTATGATAGAAAACTTTTTAGTGGCTACAGCTTCAATCAGTTACTAAGTTTGAATTTGTTGGAACAATAGTAGCGTAGCTACATTCTCTTCAAGTTACAGGTACTCAGAAAGTGAACGTCAACAAAGTGTATGTGCTCAAATGCATGGAACCTGAAATGTTGACTACATTGAGTCATGCAAGTGCGCTTGGATTGTCATAGTGAAGCAAAAATGATAAAGATGAACAAATGTGTAAGTCACTTAGCAGGAGACTTTGAATCCAAAAAGACTCTCGATCTTGGAAGTTAATTCAGATAGAAGATAGTGCAAATTCCTCTAAATTCTACAAGGCGGAAAGATGATGTAATGCTACCAAACACGTATGAAAAAAACATAGCATTATGTTTGTAGATATGCAAGAATAAAACATGCTTGAAATGAAACCCGATTTTAATTGATTTTTTTATAGAAAAATTGTAACTTTGCGACCCTAAGAATATTGCTGAACTTGTAAAAATAGCAACAATCCTAGCCCTCGGAATCAATAAAATTCGGCCGTGAAAAGACGGCATATGTTGATGGTACTTAATTAACTGTTGGATTCGCCAAGCACATGAAAACATATGTAGTGGGTACGGTTGTGGATTTGATTTGGAGGGAATGCCTAAGCATAATCAACACGAAACAATAGAGAATATTCTTTAGCCACAAGGGTACTTAGTTTATATTACAGTGCCATATATGCTCTGTGTTTGCTTCAATAGACCCGTTTTATTGCTCTACTTTAATTTTGATACAGTGCTCCCGCAGCAGCAGTCTTGGGTACTTCAATAATATCATTATTTTAAGAAATATGTTAGGTTTGAAGTTAAGTAATTAAAAGTAATAAGTTTTCATTAAAAATAATGTATTATTATTTAAAAATATAGATATATATAATAAACATTTTTAATTAAAAAAATATTAATTATAGATATTTAAAACTAACTCTAAGAATTAAGAGTAATATTTTTTTTATTTTGAAGTTAAAAGATTAATGTTATGTGTGATATTATATGTTAATTGTTTTTATCCTTTTTGTACAAGCATATAAAAAATATAAACTAAAACCAAAAGAAATAACATTTCTCGTCTAATTTTATTATTCAAAAATCATTATTTAGAAAATATTTTCAACTAATTTATGTTTTTATATCAAATTAGATACTTTCCGCTAAGTGAGTTGATATGTGCGTATGCATTTGCGTGTAAGAAGGGATGCATTGACTTCAACAATAAGCTACAAAATTTTATGTGATTTAAAAACTATGTTCGGTCAACTTTTTATTTTAAAGTATAAGAATAAGTCTAAAACACTCGCTGTTATTAAAACTTTTTTCCGAAAATACATAGTTTATAAATATTTTTATGATCATATATATGAAATTTTAAATTATTAAACATTCTAAAAAATATTGAGTTAAATTTTAATACATTATTAGCATAAAAATTTATACACTATCAACTTATTAAAAACCATCCTATGTATAGCTTTAAAATTATTATTAAAAAAAAAACAATAACTCTTGTTTATTCGATAATTTGTAATTAAATAATAATATAAATAATTATATTATTAATACATTTTAATTAAAATCAGTATACCATTTTATAACTTTTCATAAAATACAAAATTAATCAATTCAACCATTACTTTAAAGACTCTTATAATTAAATTAACTTTATAAAATTTTATGTAAGAAAAAATTAATAAATATATCATCGTATTACTTTATTTTAACAAATTATATTTTTAAAACATAAATAAATATTAAATTTTGAATAACATAATTACAAATATTTAAATTTTATAAATATTTAAATTATATAAAATTTAATATACATAATAATAAAATAATATAAAATTATTCAACAGTTAAATTAGTCAAACTTAACATAAGTTTACTCCTCATGTCAATGGATCTTTAAATCTTTTAATTAATTCATATTTTATAGCCAATATTTAGTTTTTAAAAAATATATTATACATCAAATAAGACAATCTTAATGTTATCCCAAACTCTTCCGCATTGTTAACAGAGGCCTTAAAAAGCCACCTAATTTAAAATGTATTAAAGAACATTTTTCATAGTTTCTAGTAGAACTACGGAGCATTTGCAAATGCCCCATTAATATCCATAGCTGACAGGGTTATACAACGTTGGGTACAAATTCTACCACATGCATCAAAATTGAGGGGATGATGCATGGCTAGCTTGAGTTTATTAGGACAAGTGTTCAAACCTCACGATTCATCCATAATCCCAGAAGGCCAAGACATGAATTGGGGTTAAAAAAGCTGGAAGCAAATAACTCAAAACACTCTTTACAAAATGTTTTGCTTATCAAGAGAGATTACAACCTCACTCCAATCTAAAAAGACCCAACAATTTCCTCAAATATATTATTACATTTATCGTGACCCCTCATCCGGGGGCACGCTTCGTTATCGTTTCCCTCTAAGGACCACTTGATGGCCTGAATACAGTATAACCTTTGACACCACATGCCATGTTTGAGTAATCTTGATAGTATGCATAATTATCATTATCTGCGTTTCTCATGCCTAGATACAACAGATCGGAACCACCCACTTGCCATTGGTTGTTTGGAATCAACCCATCTACCTGGCCATTGACGTAAGGCACGTTACTCATAGGCGAAATACAGTCCCTCAGTGAATCAAAATGCCCACCAGACGAGCTATACCCTCCTTGAAATCCATGGTCATGCTGGAAACTTTGTGATCGCTCAAACCTGCAAGAACTGGTTGAGGATCCCAAATCATCATTTGCACCCAAGTCTCCAGGAAAAGTGAACTGTCGATTTAGGGGCTGTGGTCCATTATTCAGCGATTGGAATGCTGAACTTGCCTTGGCGGCCATCTTCCCATTACCATGTTCATCATCAAGCAGGTCATTTATGATATCAAGGTGTGGGAACTCATCCACCAACAACCCTTGGTTCCGACGCCCCGATGTGCAGGCTGGGAACTCAGTTGACATATTTCCCATTGATCTACTGTGTACTGGCCTGTACAAGTCATGTTTTTGAACATTATTCAGCCCAGAGGGTTGATCATAGTGCAAGCTTCTGCTTGACTCCCTTTGAGAACCCTCAATCCACTGGGGACCATTCTTTAAAATATCCCGTGTAATTGCGCTAAAGGGAACACCAGACTGACTTGCACTAGTGTCCATTCTGTCAGAGCTCTGGGATAAAAATATTGGTGATGACACCAAGGAAGATGGCTGAGAATAGCCTGGTGATGGGTTTACTCCTGAACTGGAGGTGCTGGAATTAGTTAGACTAGCAGCAGTTGGGGCCACAGGGTTCCCCAAGATCACGTTTCTGTAGGATTGAGGAACATAACTATGAGTAGCAGATGTGGGATCAGGACCCAACCGGCCAGCTGCACTCACTGAACGTGCAAGTAGGGGAGCCGTTTGAACCATAGAAACAACAGGTGCAGTGGGCCTGGGACCAGGAACTAAAGGAGCACTAGAAGGTCTTGACATTGGAGGCACTTGAGCCACAGATCTTTCAGTTAATCTTGCAGTTGAAGTCTTTTGGATCTCATTTTTGGACAAAGCTGTAGCTTGTGATGCAGAAGTAAAAGGTGAAGATGGGTCCTTATCATTCAGTTGGGAACCACTAGAAGATGTTTTCCTGATATGAACAGGATCTACAGTAGCACTAGTCTTATGTTCTAACTTCATTTGAACAGAAGAGGATAAGTTTCTGGGAGGACTGATTGGCGAGGATGCCACAGCTGATGCCTTCTCTTTCTGTAGGATTTCATTGTCAACAGATCTCTCTATCTCAACCAGGTCTTTAATGCCCAATTTATTTTCAAGTGAAAGAACCCCCTCCTCCTATCAATTAGAAAAGCAAACGCCTGACATCAAGCTCAAATTGTAAAGGCAGACATAGAGGCTTCCATGTGAAATTGAGTGTGTAAATAATTCATTGGTATATATAAAATTATTGCAGTAACACGCAAGTAAAAATAGGCTAAAGGAAAACTTTAAAAGCAAACATCAAATTAAAAAAAGTTCACTGCCACCCCAAACCTGATCTCTCACCACCTTCAAGAGAAACAAAACCCAAATTATTTTGCTTAAAAATAGGATTGCTAGACATAATACCACATTTGAGCCTTCACCTAACAATAAGATTAATAACTTCAATATTCTAACTCAGCCCCCCTCAAGCTTAAGCTTTCTAAGCTTTAAGTTTGTTGCAAATAGCAAAAGAAGAAAAAAGAAAACAAAGAATTCCGAGATCAAAAACAACTAAGAAGAAAAGAAACAGAGGGATATAGACATCTTTGTAAAGGGCTTCCACATTAATCATGGAGATGAATCTTCACTTAAGATATGATGGGCAGGCTAAGAAATGAAAAGAGAAGGAAATGGGAAAAACTATGATTATGGATCCATTTTAGCATCAATGGATCTATGTAGATGTAGCTACTTCAAATGACAGAAGAGCAAAAGAATTTAGCATTAAAACCCTCCTTCCATGCCACATGATGGACACAAGATGAAAAAGATACACAATTTCTTTCCCATGAATATTCTGTTAAAAAGATAGGATATAAACATCACTAACTTCATCTAAAATATGTGAATTGAAATTATCTTCATCTATGCAGTTGAAAAATAAATATGGGAAAACAAGGTGTCCAGTTATCTTTCCATTTCTAACACTTTAAGATTTTATATATCTTTTGAAACTATTCTCATTGAGCAAAGTACTCTTGCTTCTCCTCAACGATGAAAAGAAACAGGTAAAAATTATTAGAGGATCTAAAATGAGAAGGCAACACTTAAAAACTCAATAGAGGAATAAAATACACAAAAAGGCAAGACATTTTATAATCAAAGAAAGTCATGAATAGATAAGGTTTAGAGAAGATTTTATGATAATTTGACAAGTATTTCCAACCAGGGTGGAAATGAGACAACCTTTCTGATTCTATCAAATTGCTGCACGGACCACTTAAGATCCTGCAAGGAGAAGACAGCAACATCAGATTCAGATTCGCCAACCTTACCACAGCCTGACTCGCCATTAATATCCCCAGAACCTGCTGCAGAACCAGATGGCTGACCATCTATTTCATTTGCCCAACTACCAGCATTACATGATGTTTTACCTCGGTTCTTACCTCTACAGATAAGAAGGGCCATATCAAATTAGCACGTGTGAAATATCATTGATATCCATCCACACACACACACTCAAAGAAAAGCAATATACTGACCTGGTAGGTGACTTTTGGAGTTTATAATTTGCTAGAGAGTTTCCCTTGTAGGGATCATTCATGACTACTGATGGCAAAGAATCAGTAGAACATGTTGAAGAACTATCATCTACCACTGAACCGCTCCTCCTCTCAGACATTCCATTTTGCATGGATGAAACACCACCTATGCCATTGTTACTAGCTTCAGCTGGAGGATGAACTTCTGATGCATCAGTATCCCAATTAACTGGATTAGCATCTCTGTCATCTGAATCAGGCTGAAGCATTTCAGCAACTCCATCCACAGAATCAGACACATCCGAAACATCTTCCATGGCATCAGGCTTTTCAGACAGAGTTTGAGCTTCATCAACGTTAGAATCCTTTTCCTCAATAACAGCGTTGTCTTGGTTCTTGTCATGTGCAGACACAGTGGTCCTCTCCTCCCTTCCTTTATCCTTTCCTTTACGGTTGTTCCGTTTTTGTTTAGCCTATAGTGAAAAGAAAGGAATATCTGTCAAAAATTATAAGGAAAATCCACAAACACCAATTCCTTACCCCATGCACCTCATTTAATCTCAAAAATAGCAGTCATGGCATAGGAAAGTAGAATGTTGAGAGAAAACATCCTGGGAGCATTGCAGTTTACAAATTCCTAGCAATGCTCAAGCAAATAGTCAAAGGGTGCAAAATGGGTTAGCAGGCTTTTCAGCAGTCAGCACTCAGCACAAGTGGAAAAATCACAATATTAACGACAACAGAGAATTGCTTTTCAATCTGTGACAGGGAATCAAATAAAAATCCAAAATGCAACAACAGAGCCATTCAATGCATAGCACAACATTCAGATATCTACACACATTGACAATGCAGTTTCAACAAGTTCCAGACCTGTTTTTTCTTTGACTTCTTTTCCCTCTCATTGACCCCACGCTTTGCTTTCTGATCACTTTCACATGCAGCCTCTTCTTCACGGATGAGCTCTTCTTGTCTCTTGAGAGCAACAGCTTCCTGATAGGCAACCTCAATTTTATTACTGCACCCGTGAAATTAAATAATTAGGATATCTAAATTGATGCATATCTAATACCTACAGCTAAAAGTACAAAAAAAAAAAAAAAAAAACTGTACAGATGTAGTCAAACAAGAATTTATGCCTCTCTTAACTTCCAGGTAGGTTACATATATAAGCCCCACCATTAGGAACTTCTCAAGCTTTCCATATTTCCAATAATTTCCTTTAGTTCAGCAGATAGCAATATCACAAACCAGAGGAATTTCAAGCTTGGTGGTACAAGGGGAGTATGACTTCTGGATGAGGTAATATTTCAAAACAGACAATCAAAGCAACTCAAAACTAGGTCTGATAGATATATTATAAAATACAATCATACTATCATGTTAGCAAGAAAGTGATGAAGCAAACATCATTAGGAATTTCAGTGCCAAACTAGACCATTTTTTCTCATAGCTAATGGGTTTTAATTGGGATGTGTATCAAAATTAATCTTAGCCAATAGCCATAGATTTTAATTAGAATGCGTTTTGCTTTGAAAATACAATAATGGATTTTCCAACTATAAATTAGCAAGCATAAAGTATGTTGACTAATAGATTGATGGGTTTTTGTAATGCTACATGAGGCACAGATTATCTGCTCATGGTTTTCCAAATTGAGTTTTAGATCATAAGATACACATCTACAATTCCAACTTATGCAAAACATTTATGGGGAATCATAGTGAGACAGCACAGCCAAATCATAAGATTGGTCGAATTGTGGTTGGTCCAAGATACTACTGACCCAAAATAGTAGGCTTATGCAATGCAATATTGACTTTGTATGCATCTTTTATATGTGTGTCTGTGCCAGGAATCATGAAGAAAACAACTGTAGATCTAGCACAAATTAGCTATGCAGTTATGAGACTTGGAATTGTGCAAGATCATGTGTTCCAATTTCACGGCTGAAACTAGCGGGAAATGGGGATGAATACAAATTATCAGTTCTCTTGTAACTTCAAAATACTACAAACATATTATCATCCAAGGTTTGATCCTAAGAGTCCCCTGCATCCAATACTTAGTAACACTTGATCTGGACAAAATGGAATCTGTATTTCACGTTTCAACTGTCTACAAGCATCCCTTTTCCAGATCAGGATACCAAGCTAAGCACTCATCATACATTATTACAACAACTCATAAAGAAAGCAACACAAAGATCAGGTCATCTAAAAACTTGTTATTTTGGTGTAAACAATTATATTCTATTGCACTGCATTCTCACGGATAAACCTTATGGGACTGCTAGTGCTAGCTAATTGCAAAATCATCTAAAACAACTGCCCAACAAGCAACTACTAGCTACATATCATCTCGTCATATCACATGGTAATTCAATTAAGTGTCACAAATTTCATTTAGTACAGAAAACAAGGCAACATGCTCAAACTTTGGATAGTAGTGTCATCTGCTAGAACAAGAATGTTTAAAGTTCTTAATCACTAATTTCTCCTTGACCATGAAAAATCAAGCACATACAACTCTAAAAGAAACAACAACAAAATCAAGCAATCTGAAAGAAGGTCAAGGGAGCCTCTTAGCATGATGTCTGAAATCACATAGGAGCTAAGCTGTGTATTCACAATCTCTTAGAAATAAGATACCATCAAAACCACAAGTCAACAACATCAAAAAACCGACTGATAAAAATTATTTCCAAGAAATTGATAAAAAATAAAAAAACACTCCAAAACTTAATTTAGGAGGTAGTACAAATGAAGATCAAAACGCAAAATTATCAATACAAGCAATTATGCTAAGAGAACATAAAGAGTATGGAATTAATTACAAAACTTATTGCATTTACTACCTGAATATATGGGCAAGGACAAATATTTCTAATGTCCTACGACCCAGTTCTGTTAGACGCCTTTCATCACGTTCAATAGAATCTTTATTGAAATCCTCTCCAGAGTTTCCATCCTGCAAATATATGTCAAACAGGTTTCTTAGCAAAGGATTCCAAAATTATAATGGTGCAGCAAACGGTAAAATAAACAATATCAAGCATATAAATATTTGGACCTCCATTAGATTAAAGGTATGAAAAATCACTTTCTGCAGCCAAAATCAAATTATATAAATAAGTTTTAGGGTTTTTTTTGGGCTGAAATTGTGTTTGCACTGATACAAAAGCATTTCCTGGGGTTGACTCTGAATAGCCTAGCTCCCTGTGTAGGACAACAAATATCCCAACTAATTTTGAACATCAACAAATTATCTTTTTATCATTTAGGCCCATTTGTTTGCGATTTTTTTAAGAAAAAGTAATTTTTATTTAAAACATATATTGTAAAAAATTGATAATAATAATGTGAATTTTTTGGGTTAAAAAAAAGAAAAGAAAAAACCTCAACAAATGTTTTAATGCTTTCTCATGTGTTAAAAATATTAGCTTCTAAAAAAACAACTCCAAAAAAACAAAGAACCATTACCAACTAATCAATTTTTAAGCTTAAACAAACAGGCCATTATTATTATATCCTATTTAAATTAAAGTTATTTCATACTAAATTACCAATCTAAGTAATTTGACAAAGTGGTGACCCATGCCAAAATCCAAACAAAAACTATTTCATAAAGAAAATTCACAAAAGATGAGACAAATTCTTTCAAAAAAATTATTGCAAAATAGTTATTCCTCAATTTATTAAACTTCAAGGAAATTCCAAACACATGAATACATGAATAATCATTCAGAAATAAAGGATTAAAAGCCACAAGAAATAAGAAATAGACAAAATCTTTAGATTATTAGTTCAGATGACTGGCCGATGCAGCAGCAATTGAGTGAGAATCATTCTTAACCTACGTCAGAATACAGTAGGAGAGCCTTCTATTTTTTTTTCCTATCTTCATCCAACAGAAAAACTCTTTTTTGCTCACTTTTACCTAGTGTTGTTAAATGTCGGTTATGGCGGCGCCATGGCGGAAATGACAGAGGCCGTTACAAAGATTGCGTGACGTGGCGGTGCCATGGCGGCCGTTACGAGCATGGCGGTAACGGCCGGCAATGGCAAAAATCGTTAGAAATGACGTTTTTTTTTTTTTAATATGGTTTTTCTGCACTTTTGGGCCAGATCCGACCCGACCCAGTTCAGAACCCAACCATAAATCCAGGTTTTTTCCCTCTCTTCTCCTTACGATCTCACTCTCCCTCTCTTTGCAATCGCACTCTCTCTTTCTGCAATCTCACTCTCCTCTGTGCTCATCTCTTTTCTCTCTGCCCTCCATCAAGATTTCACTCTCTCTCTCTCTCTGTGACATCTCTCTCTGCTTTCTTTGAGATCTCTCTCTGCTGAGATCTCTTTTTGTTTTGGACTCCTTGGGTTTTTGTTTTGGTGCATTTAGGTCTCTATTTCCAGCGACTGCAGCTGCAGCTCCATTTCGGTCCTGCTGCTGTGTGATGCTACGCCGCTGCTGCTCTCTCTCTAGATTCTTTCGGTGTTTATGTGGTTGGGGCTGTTTTTGCTTGTCAATTTAAGCTGCTAAACTTACGGCTTTATCTTTTAGTCTTTTTTAAGGGAAAAAAGACTTTTTATCTTTTAAAAATAAACTGAATTTTCTTTTTTACCCTTAAAATGACACTTTTAAATTTTTTTAAAAGGGTAAAATAGTATTCTCATTAAAATATATTATCTAACTTTTCTTTTTCCTTCTTCCCGTCTCTCATCTTCATCTTTGCTCTGTTTTAGTGGGCATCTGGCTTTATTTAGCTTCTCTCATCTTCATATTTATACTGTTTTACATCCCCTTTCCGATCCTACTTAGAATTTCGATTTTGATTACCATATTTTACATCACAAAATCAAGAAAATATTATTCAAAGTCTTGATTCTCTCATTTTCCTCTCTCAATACTTTTAATCCAAATAATATCAACCACTAGGACCTATGAGCATGAATCTGTTTGACTCTCAAGAAACATAAAAAAATCTTAATTCACTTTTACTATGGTCTATGGGTGGTGTAATTGTTGCAAAAATTTATGGTGAGAAAATGCTTTTTAAAAGGAGGATTAGAAGGATTGACAATGATAATTTGGGCCATAAATGAAGAATTTGATAGGTAGACATTAGTTGGTTAGATAAATAGAGGTATAACTAGTTAATCAGAGAGTTAGTTAGTTAGTTGATAATTGCATATTTTGTATTGAATTATATTTTGGATTGTAGGTTATGCTACATATATTTTGAGTTAATTATTTTCTATCATTTTCTGTAATCTATAGTATTTTTTTATATATTTTATTATATTTGCCATAACCCGCCATGTTGGCCGCCATAACTTTATGGCAGTTTTTTTGGTTTCCGCCATGAGCCGCCATCAGCTATTGATAACATTGCTTTTACCAAGCTTCTTTCTCTAAAAAATCTCTTACCATCACAATTCAAAGAGCTCAATGCTCAACCATATCAGCAGTTATCAGGTGTCAACACATGATTTTTAGCTACTTTTATTCTACATCTTACCTTTGTACGGTTTTGAGGACCCTTCTCATCTTTTGGAGGCAGTGGTTCTATAGCAGCCCTTTCAAGTAGCAGTAAAACATCATCCACCAGCACAAACGTATCCTTCTCGACACGAACAATTGGTGCTGGTATTTCTTCAGCATCCAACAATTTCACCCTACCATTCTTGCACTTAGTCTGGCCTTCAAGAGCCTTCAATCCACTATAAAAGGAATCCATTACCAAAGTAGAAGTGACCTCTTTCTCTATAAAGAACTGTTTTACAACTACTTTCAAAATTACATCTGTCTTCTCCCTAGACATGCGGCGCCTAGAAGTTTGGTCAATTTCCCGCCAGAAGGCAAAGAAACTGCACGTTACAAATTATCATTTGATCAGCCAATAAAATCAGACACCACAACTTAAAGGTCTGACACAAGTGGCAATTAATGATAATATATTACATTGCACAGGGAAACAGTATACAGTACAATAAAATGACAATGTCAAATCACATTTACTAGGCAGACTACCTGATGTTGGGTATAATACATCAAACAATTCACCTATTAGATTTGACTACAGCATTTATCCCTCTTCAGTATTTTTGTTCCAGATAAGCCATTCATATTTTCACTTATCCAGATTGAAGGGTAATTAAGTAAACTCAATGTTTTTGGTTCCAGTATTAAAGTATTATTATTGATCTGGAAGCATAAAAAAGAAACAATTTAATGATCCTGACTTTCATTAGGTGATACTTGGGAGCAAGATAAGAATCACAGCAGACATCATGTGACATAAGAGATTATATCTGTGTCTATGTTTTAAGAGTGACACTTTTAAAGGAGAGCACAAAGTACCTCGACCACCTAGCTTTATCCTCTATTAACTTCCCAAGCTTGCTTCTTCTCTCCTCCACAAAACGCCGACATATTTGTTCTACATTTGTCAAATATACCCTAACAAGTTCTCTCCTATACTGACAATCAAGGCAACGAAAGGGCCTGTCTGATTTCTCCCTACGCATCAGAAACAAAAAAATTATGGTCATACATCTGAATTAATAACTCCAAGGAACAACAAAAGCAAATTAACAAGATTACCCCCATTTGGCAGCCACACAAATTTCATAAGGGAAAAAGAACAAAAGTCGGTATGTTTAAAAAATAGAAGACAAAATAACCTTACAACATGGCAGACAACCAAAGAAAACATCGCTGAATTTTGTACATAGGTTCATTGTGAAAGGAAATACAATGTAGAAACTTTTCTCCATGTGCCCATTTGGATGTGTTTTTGTTAGCAAGAGTTTTCACAAGGGAAAAAAGCATTTTTGCAAAAGAAGTTCTGATATTTTACTGAAAACTGAGATTACATTTTCAAAGAACTTATTTCTGCCAAACAAACTTCTACTTACTTAAAAAGAAAAACCACCCAAATGCCCCAACAAACACGAATACTTATCCTTACAAATATTAAAGTATCATACATATGTTATGGCCTTTACAATTTTGAACTGATAATTGATTTATTTTCACATATTTATCTTTATATAGACAAAGAAATATTAATTTCTAAACAATTTCGAACCCAAAAAAAAAATAAAAAAAATCATATCAGCCTTTACATATCTACTAATTATAAGAATAGCTTTCTCCATTAATAACTTGCAAATCCTCAAAATATATTCAATTTAAATCTGAACTCCTTTGCTAATAATAATGTGTTTCTACTTATCCAATAGGGAAAGTATGAAAGACTTAAGCACAATAATGTGCAGCTGCAGCATATATTACCTTATCCAAATCCAAATGGTTTCCAGAATATGAATGCTATGCACTTATATCTTGTGTAAGCTAAAATTGCTTACAAATTCAAAATGGACATCTCAGAATGTGATCAAATATGGTGCACAGTAGTAAAATTAAAAGGGGCCAAAAAAGCCCACAGTCTTACCAGTGTGTTGCATTCATACAGATAAGTTGTTTTTGACATCATCTTATTGGGTTTATATTTATCATGGAAAGCCACACACAATTTATAATTTACTAATCTGAATACAGCTTCTGTTATTGAAGACAGAATATTTGAGGAAACAGAGAAATTCAGAGAATATAGAATGAGACCCCAATACGCATGTGTAGTCATGAGGCTTGCTGCATAAACTTAAAGTTTAAAAAATTGTAAAAAATATAAGAATAACAATGAAGAGGCCTAGAGAATATTCGTTAAAATTTTGGCTCAAAAAATAATGGAAAATACAGGCTGACAGAAATGAAATCAAAGATTAACAGCAATGACCATAAATGTTACAATGGCATGGAAGACCAAACTTCACCAAAATTTAAGCTAGGCATCATATGAATATTATTTCTTGGTGGCTTTCAATTTACAAGCATTCATGTTTCTTTGTAGATATGTAAATAAAATGAAGTGCAAAATTATATGGACAATAGCCTTAACTAGATGGTGATTGAATATTTAAAATATTCAAAATTACATAAATTAAGTATATATTACCTTATGACTTGAACTTGAGCTTTTATTATCAGATTGTCCGAAGTGTCAACAAATCCATCATACACTTTAGACAGCTCCATAAACTTTTTCCATCCCCAGTCATGCTCCTTCTTCCAAAATCGATGCAATGTATCTGGAAAAGGGTAAACTCAAGCACAAGAATCTCAATAATGCTGATAGAAAAATTGTAAAACGATGCAATGTAATTAAGCCAACTATTAGCCAACAAACCAGAATATTTTGATTTCTTTGGGTCTTTATTGACCACAGCAATTGTAAATTGTGCAAAATGACTCCATCCTGAATGACCACAAAAATAACTGGGAAAGTAAGTCAAATACTGTGGAACCAGCTGTAGAAAGTAAAACTAACAATAGTTAATAGAATCTTAAAAAAAGATCATGAATTGAACCTGGAAGAAGTTTGTCATGATTAGCTACGCACAGAAACAGCGAGAGATGATTGCAAACATCACAACCTTGTGGATATATTAAAATATACCTGCCACAGACCAAACAATAATTAGGTAAAAAAAATCAACACTAATATCCATCAAGTCATGCATGCACACTATCTCAACAAACCAGATGCATTCATTAGACTGCACATACCAACAATAAATTAAGGGCATATAATTCCATAACACATTTTATAGTTCTTACATAGGAGACACCTTTTTCAAGATGAATAAAAAGGAACCTTTTTCTTGTATGACAAATCAGTATATAATATATTCACAAATTCCATGTACATATCATAAAAAAAAAGATTCCCTTTTAGTGGGTTATTGAGCAAGTCCTTTTTCCAATTTTAACTCATTTGTTGAACTGATGTACTTGTCATTTTAATAAACCTCTTAGGAAGTCCAAAGCCCAACATAAGGCAAAGTAATTTATTTGCAGTTTTGCACTGTTTCACAGGCCACATGAAGCTCTTTCCCCTGATATGTACATTCTGCCATGCTTTTTACCTTGTTATTTGTAACTGACAGTGACATGTCAATATTTTTGTTCCACCTTTTTTGGAAATAGAGATGTGTGCTAAGTCCTTCGACCAAATTTTGGTTACTAGTAATAGTGATTCTGGTAGAAGTAAAGAGGCCAATTTTTAATACATTGTGAAACGCATGCCACTAATTGGTGAATTTGATTTATCATGATGCATGTATTTTAAAGGATATATCATTGTCTCAACAGCTGACATGGGAAAAGATTAGGAGATCAACCTCAAAGAATATAAGATTTAGAAGGGCTCCTTAGGAAATATGCAGATGGACAGCTTTGCCCCACTGATGGTTTCTCTTTTCCTGGGTTGATTATTTTCCTATGGAGAATCTCTATCCTCCAATATCACCATTTATGCATGTATGTATGTGTTGGATGTGTTAGAGATAAACTACAATTATTACTATACATCAATATTTTGTCAAGATTCAAGATAAAACCAGTCAAGATAGACTCAAGATGATAAATGCATAGCAACAAACTCCTGCATGCATATAGCTTTAGAGGTATAAATCAAAATTTAAGCAAAACATAAAGGATAGTTAAGCTCTAACACACAACAAAAGCCATGTATCCCTATAAGTTTATCAAAAGACTCATACCATTTGTAGTCGCCAACCTCAAATGCACTACTGCGAAGTTCCCTTTTGGTAATTTGAGAAAACTTTTCTATCTTCCATGTATATTTTCCATATAACTCAGACGGTTTTGGTCCTGTAAAAAGATAAACAAAAAAGATATAGAACAATTTTCTATGCAAATATTAATTTCTTTAACAATTAACCATGGATCCATCATGCTAGATTCAATATTCATCAGAAGCTAGGTTGAGCCAAGTAGCCAACTGTCCAGGCGCAAGAAACAAATTCCTACCAAAATCCCCCATCACTGACTACAAAAGGTATTTCCGTAACAGATGGTACAGAAGTTTAACCTATCTATTTATGACGTGGTTTCTTGCAATACTAATAATGAAATATAATCACATCCATTCCCAAGGCCAAACTAAACTAATCCAAGAAATATTTTGATGATTTAGCAATCTCTCGAGAAAACTTGTGAAGAAACAATTGAAGCTGCTAATAGTATATCTAAATGATAAACTGGGCATATACATTAAGACAAAACCTGCGTAGTCGAAGATTAAAAATACCTTTTTTTTTACTTGTTCTTACTAATCAATGAATCTCACAAAACCATTGATACCAATTAAAAAATCAAGGTGAAAAAAAAAATATTATCATACAATATAACATCTAATCCAAGCATTTTAAAAGTCGTAATTATCATTCCTAAAGCTCACTCAGAAAACACGCAGATATGCAATATAACAAAATAAATTTACAAAAAACATAAAAAGGAAAAACAGGAAAAGAATTAACTGCCATCATCTTCGTCATCAGTGTCCCAGTAAGGGGGAGAAGTAGACGTGATTCCATTCTCCACCTGTTCAGAAGATCGCCACTCCGCCAATGCTTCACCAGACTGACAACGCTGCCCACTTGAAATTCCCTCCACAGACTTTCCCACTCCAGACTCCTCACTCACAATCCCAGCCATTCCCTAATCCAGAAATATTTCACCAACACTATTCTTACAGCACCAACTGGACAAGAACACAAACAAAGCCAAAATAAGCTCTTAAACCTCACATTGCATTAGAAGACGGTAAATCATTCCAAAACAATAATAACAATTCATTCCCATTTAGAGTATCCACTTCCAAGTTCCAACTTCATCTAAAAAGTCTACAAGAAGATAACCATAATCAAAAGCAAGGCGTATTGTCTAGGAAAACTGGAGGCAACATAATAAATTCAAAATTGCAAAATTGATAATCTACCAACTGAGAATCCAAGAAAAAAAAACCCACCCCTTCCTCCAAACCGATACTAATTAACCTAACAACACGCGACCTTCCTAATTCCAATTCCTCTCCAATATTATTGAAAACCAGACACAAACCCAACCCAAAAAACCCAAACCATTAATTAAACAAATAAACCCTAAAACAGATATTTAAAAAAAAACGATTCAAAACGAGCCCGAATTAGAAAAAAAAGTACAACAAAATTGCAGAACCAGCTCGATGACGCCATATGGCATTAACCCAAACCTCGAAAATTCCCCGAAACAATCAACGCCGAGAAATAAGAAGAAATTGGGCAATAATTCCCAGAAGCAACCAAGTAAACTAAAACCCCATTGATCAAAATCGAAGAAATAGCGCATGAGAAAAACAACGAAGAAGAAAAGATTGAAGAGGGAGTAACGGAAAATAGCAAAAGACGATGGCGTGGATCGATGAGAAGCAGACGAACCTGGAATCAAAGAGCAGAGGTTTGTGAAAAGGGCACAATCCGAGCCCGGAGATTTTAGAGAGAGAAAGTCGAAGTGAGAGAAAGACAGGGGTTGAGCAGCAACAGAGAAGAGAGGCATGACACCAAAAAAATTAATAATAATATAATTAAATTTTATTTTGATTTATTTTTTGTTTTAATTTTATAGTTTCCTTCTTTCCATTTTATTCGAACATAATCGCCGCAGAGTAACCCTAACCGCCACACTTGCTTCTCTTCTAACAATTTAATATAATCTATTAAGGGGAGAAAATTTTGAGAGGAGAAGCAGACATACTTTTTTAATTTTAAATTAAAAATTATATATTATTTAAAATACAAATTTATTATCAATATATTAATTTATATTTTTACTTTAAAAAATATTAATTTTAAATATATTTATTTAAAATATAAATTTATCTCTTCCTCTTCTTTTCAAAACTTTCTTTCCTAAACAACTCTTAAAGTTACAATTGAAATACTTTATAATTATTAAAAATTATAAAAATATATTAAATCTAGAGTAAAATTTATATAATTTTTATAAATTTAATTAATAATTAAAATTATGTTATAAAATAAATAAAAAATAAGAATTACATAAATTTTATATTTTTTAATAAATTTTACTTAATAATTAAAATATATTAAAAATAATGTGTTAAAAATGTGTTGTTAGGATTCTTCTTATTTATTAATCCTTTTAAGTTAAAAATAAATGTGTTTTTGGGATTATAGTAAAAATAAATACATCTTTGTTGGAGAATTTTATTTTATTTTTCTCTAAAGTGAGAAAGTAAAAAGTTATTCACTTTTAAATATTTTATAAATTAATATTTTTATATATTTAAAATGAAATTATAATAAATATTTTTTATTCTATATATAAGTACACTTTAGAGAAGTCTTATTTATTTTATTCTTATGTATGGAGAAATATAAACATCATTGATTGAAATGGTAAAAAATATACTTTCATATTAATGTATCGAATTTTAGTTTTAGGAGTACAAAAAATTGTCCTAAAGAATTTTTTTTACATTCGATATAGTTAAAGTCGTGAGACTTCCATATTCCAGAAAAAAAAAACTGTGAAGAGAAAAGTTGTAATATTAAAATCAGTTTTATTAACTTTGATTCTCAACATTTACAAATAATATTTTTTTTATTAAAAATTATTACACTGAAGATATACAAATATAATAAATATTTTTAAAAAATCATTATCATTAATTACTTAATAAAGGTAAGATTATTTTTATTAAAATATATTATTAACTTTTAAAATTAATAGTAAGCATTTAAACATGAAAATATTTTACTAAGAATTTATGTATTTGTCGCATCTAATGTATAAAAGTATAATAAATATTTTTTAAAAATATTTATTTATTTACGCAAGTAGAGGAAAAATTAAAAAGAAAAATAGATGGGATAAAAGTTAATTATATTCTTTAAATAATAAGAATAGGAAATTTTAATTTGCAATCTTACTTTACACGTAATTTTTTCACCAAAGAGGGGAAAAAAAGCATGAGACCCGCAATTTAAAATCTATTATTTCTATATATAGACAAATGGGTCAAACAAGTGAATTTTGTTCTGTCAAGTAATTTTCTTTAAAATGTAATTCTTTTCACCCAATTATAGCCTAAAATAGAAAATCTTCATACTTTTTTATGCTTAATACTACTTCTTAAAAATAATATTAACGAAATTAAAAAAGAAACATGCAATAAAAATAAGGTTTTACCTTCTTTTTCTTTTCTTTTTTTCTACCTACCATATTTGAGCTATGTTAGTTGGCGTGTGTGATATAACAATCCAAATGTACTCTTGTAATTGGTACTTAATTGTCAATAACATTGAATGTGTTATTAAAAAATAATTTGACAGAAAATGTTGATGATACAGTTAACAAGAAAGTTTAAATAGTATTTTTGAATAAGAGATAATAATGTGATGAATATTGATATACGTATATTTTTAGTGAATTCAATATAACAGTAAGTTATATTTGATTTAAAGAATTTTGCTACAGAATTAATATGAGAGGCTGATGATGAACTTGCTTTTAATTTGCTTGATTACCAATGTGTGGCTCGTAGCAATCATAAACTTTATTTATCATTTAGTCAACGAATTGATTTATTTGGTTTATTTATGATTCTTGAACTTGTTACCATATATGACAATATGCTTTCCCTTAAATAAAAGTGTATAAGAATGTCATAATTATTACGTGAATGAGATTCAAGAAAAACGTGAGTTTATTATGCTGGGTATCTAATTATTTCATCTAGGGATGACAATGGGTAAGGTACTATAGTATCCATCCCCGTACCGGCGCTTTAAAAAAATACTCGTATCCAGTCCCATATTCGTGTGAGTATAAATATTAATCCTCGTACCCCGTACCCTCTGAGTACCCACATACCCATCTTGTACTCATTACCTGCGCTTGTTTGAGAAAAAATATTTATAAAGAAAAATATGTTTATATAATTTCACATAAGTAGCATAATAATACAAAAATTTAACATGTAGTTACCGAACAAGGTACAAATATAAATAAAAAATAAATATTCAAAGATCATAAATGATAAATGTATCTTAATATAATAATTTTTTAAACTAAAATTCTTAGAAACAATAAGCGAAACTAAACACACAAGTTATTTGTCAGTGATAACCCTATCTTGTTTGAGATTTGATAGATTGGCAATGTTAAAGCGAGAATAAAATAGATCTGCACAATAGTTATTCATTCGTGTGGGATCACTTAGCGACCTCTTGTGACGATATTGACAATTAACTTTAATAAGTAATGTTTCATAGTTGTTAGATTTTAATGAGATAAACATTGAAAATGAGAATAGAGTTAGAGTAGAGAAGTTCAATATTAACAACAGAAAGTGCATACATAAAATATTTTTTTTTAACTTTTGAATTTGAAATTGTAAGAAAAATAATAGATTTTATTAAAATAATATAATATAATTAATATATATATATATATATATATATTAATACTAATATTTTTAACTCATATACTATACGAAAGTATTTTATCAAAAATATAAATTTTTGAAAAATTATTTTAATGAATTAAATATTTATAATGTATATAAATTTTAAAAGAAAGAATTTGAAAAAAAGATAAATGGTCACAACAAAATTTTATAATAAAGAAATATGCGTGTATATTAAAAAAATTATACTTTTTTATTTGGAAAAAATTAACAAATAAAAATTAATAATATTTTTTTATATTTATATCTTTTCAAAAACTTCTTTGAACGTGAATAAATAGTAAGAATAATATTATTTAGATTCAATATATTATAGTTGTACTTGTAATATAATTATTACATAGAAAAATATTATTTTAAAATAAAATATAAAAAATAAATTTAAATATTATTAATAAATAATAAGTTACGGTAATAGTAGGTGATTGTAAAATTTATAAAATATTTATAATATATTTATTATTTATCATTCACTTTATGATTTAAACATCAATATGATTTTATTAACAAAAATATTTGTGTGAAAAATATTTTATGTGTGTCATATATAAATAATATTTTAAAAAAACTCAATCTCATATTAACTATATAATAATTAAATTGTATTAGCCTAATTAAATGATATAAAATAGTAAATAAATTTTTCTATTAAAAATATAAACCAAAATAATTTTTTTGGTTTACTTTATTATTAAATATATTTTTATATTAATCTTATAAAACTTTACATAAGTAATATAATAATATAAAAATTCAATGCATAATTGTAGAATAAAGTTCAAGCATATATATATATATATATATATATATATATATATATATATATATATATATATATATATATATATATATATATGCTTGAACTTTATTCTACAATTATGCTGGGGCGGAGTGAGTACTTAGATACACATACTCGCACTCATCCCTATTAAAATTTGTAAATTTTTACCCACACCCATACCCGTACCCATATAGCGGGTAAATACCCTACCCATTGTGGAGTAAATTTTGTGAGTGCCCATTGAGTATTTTACCCATTGTCATCCCTAATTTCACCCTTAACCAAAACATGTTAAGAAGGGAAATTATGTTGTTGGTAGTTTCAAACCAATAAACTTTAAGTTAATGAATTAGCTCATGGCTCGTGTTAAACAGTAATTCTAATTATAAGAAAAGAGACTATTTCTAAATAGCTAAAAAAAATATTATTATTTTTTTTGGCTAGAAAGAAGGGCTCAAAAGTCTAAAACAAAAAACAATTTAAGCACAAAGTCTAAGACAACTCTGAGCACTAGAGTCCAAATACAAGAAAGACAAAAAAGGAGAAGGGGAAACCTTAAACTGGGAATAAGAAGCTAGAGAATCTAGACCCAATTTAGTTAAAAAGTCAGCATATTGATTCGCTTCTCTACATATATATAAGCAAATCTATCAAATCTAATAGATTTCAAAGTATTTCTAATATTACAAAGTAAAGAAAATAGAGGGAGAGAAGGAAGCTGGACATTCAACACAAGTTCAATCGCTTCCTTAGAATCACTCTCAATTCAGATTACTTGAATTTTGACAGAAACAACCATCTGAATTCCAAAATAAATTCTCCAAAGCTCAGCAAAGAGAGGAGAGCAAAAAGTCATACTACTACTAAACCCAAAACAAAATCTACCATGACAGTCTTGAATTAACCCTCCATAGGCAGCCACCCTATTACAATTAGAAACTACATCATCCACATTCAGTTTAAATTGATCAGTAGGTGGAGGAGTCCATCTAACCATCCCATAATCAGAAATTAAGTTGGAATAAGTGGTAGAATCGGACCTGCCATCAAAAGAAAAATACTCAGCATCGTATAAAGATTTTTTAGCAACACTATCAGGCTGAGAAAATCAATTCTGAAAAATAAAAAGATTTCTAGCATTCCAAATATTTCAAATAACACAACAAAAAATGATAGACTAATTATGGAAGTGCGAGCAATGAGAATTAGAGAGATTAGATAGCAATCAGTTAAAAATCCCCGAGCTGGAAAAGGAGACCCACTAATTTGGGAAAACAAAACTATCCCAACCCTCTTAGCAAAAAAATAATCCCTCAACACATGTATAATAGTTTCAGGCCCATCCTTACACCTAGGGCAAGTAGACGACTCGGATATACCTCTAAGAAATCTCTCCTCGTTAGTAAATAATCTACCATAAGCTAATCTCCAAAGAAGAAAAGCAATTTTAGGGGACCTTTCCACCTCCAAATAATTTTGAACAGGTCAGTCCTACTGGCGAGGTTGAGATTAACATTATCCAGCATATAGTAAGCAAACTTAAGGGAAAAAAATCTCGTTGTTGGAAATAATCCAGAAAGCAAAATCAGGCCCAGCAAGTCTAGAAGGGGGTTAATGAAGGTAATGTACTTATTACCTATATGTGCAAGAAGGAGGGAGTAGATTTTAGCCCAATTCCAACCGCCTTGGGCAGCAAATAAAGCAACAGGAGATTCTAACTCAAGCTCAAAGTTGGGAATAACAACATGGTCAAGCAATCTATCAACATGAGGGACCCAATTATCAGTCCAGAATTTAATGAACATTCCATCCCTAACACACCAGCCTAGACCTTGAGAAAATTCAAGGCAAATACTTATTAGATTTTTCCATAAATATAACTGTCTAAAAACTTTCTTAACACCAAATATCTGACCAGAACTAAAATTATATTTGTGGTGAAGAACTTGAGCCCATAAATCAGAGGGAGAGGTGACCATCCTCCAGCATAATTTCATCATATAGGCCTTATTGAGCAAATTTAAATCTTTGAAACCTAGGCCACCCTTATTTTTAAGCTTGCAAATGTACTGTCAGCCAATAAGGTGACATTTTCGCTTTCCTAATGAACCCCAAATGAACTTCCTACATAGGCTATTTATCTCATTACAAATGGAAGAGGGAATTACCAGGGATTACATGACATAGGCAGGTATACTCATCAAACAAGCTTGGGCCAAAGTAAGGGTGGCACCCACGCGGCGTGGGGCCAGGGGATACTCCCCCGCTCCCTGTCCCCGCACCTCATGTTCTTCCCTGTCCTTGTCCCTGTCCCCGATCCCTATTATGGAGAGATTTTTTCCCATCCCTGTTCCCTGCTTCCCCATGGATCCTCGCAGATTTCCCTGAAAATATATTAAAAAAATAAAAAAAATTAAAACTATAATTTCACACTATTATCATTTTTTTAAAAGAATGTTATCTTTTCTATTTTCTAAAGGTAATTTTTTTCCACTTAAATATTAGGTTACACAATATAGAAAAATTAATAAAATAAAGTAAATTGTTCATATCATCAAATACAACATAATAATACAATAAATAAGTTGTAACATTAAGGAAAAATACAACACTATCATGAAAATAATATAACAACGCGATATTTCACATCCTTGACTTCTATGATTTGCATTACTAATCAACATGTGAAATTTTTAAACAATCAAGTTGCACTCTCCTACAAAACAAAAACCAAGTAAATTTTAACGTTAATAAAAAATAAAATTTATAAATTAACATTATCAAATTTTATTACCACTATATCTGAAACATCTTTGTCTTCCATTACTTTGCAACACTCTATCTTCAATTTCAAAGAACCTAGTGATATATACTTGTTAGATCAAATTTAATGTATATAAAAAAATAGAAAGTTAAAGTATCATTTATTACCTTCAATCATACTACGTATCTAATCTTGAAAACACATCATTGCTTCAACCGTGTCTTCATTCAATGAACTACGATGTGGAGTCAAAAACTGTCTACCAATACTAAAAGCAGACTCTAAGGCAACAGTTGAGATAGGAATAGCAAAAAAAATCCTTAGCAATTCTTTGTAAAGTTAGATATTTCATTCCAATATTTTTCCAATAATCCAATATGTCAAACTTATCCACATTTGACTGGTTAAGCAACACTAACTCCTCTAAGTAGTAATCTAACTCAGACTTCACAAATTCATTAGAAAAAGTGTCTTGAATATATTGCAAAAAGTCAATCAAACTATCACTCTTCCTTGAACTACTCTCTGAATTCATCAATGTGGAAGCTAAAGTGCAAACAATATCACTAACTGCGTGATTAAGCCTTCTTTCCTTATTTTGTTACTCAGAAACCAAATCTTCTAATAATGTTCTCACTTTTTCTAATTTTTTGGTGCTTTCACTTCCATACATAAGAGGAGAAAAATAATTCAACAACTTTATTTTAAATTTAGGGTCCAAAACAGCCCCTATTGCCATTACACTATTAATAGAGCCTCAATACTTCTCAAACTTGAGAATCATAGTTTCGGCCATAGCTTGAAGTGTAGTATTAAAAGAGAAAACCCACTGTTTAAAAGCTAACCTAATTTCACATACATTTGGAAAATAAACATTGAAGGTTGCAAACTGTGTTTCTGAAAATAACTTAGTGATACGATAGAATATTTCTAAGGCATTACAAATTTCAGTTGCCATTTTCCACTCATCAAGACTTAGCAAAGACTTATATTGAGGTTCTCTTGGCTTCAAACGCTTAAAAACATCATAGTATGACAATGCAGAAACAAGCATCAAATACGTGAAATTCTATCTAGTTCTACAATTATTTACTAGTTTCTTTGAATAACAAACACCACTATGTCGACAAGCATCAATAAATTTCTCTTCCCTTTTTGGTGTTGTAGTCCAAAAAGAAGCACTATCCCTAATCTTCTCAATAGAACCATGTATTGTTGACATTCCATCTTTCACAATCAAATTTAATATGTGAGCACAATAATGCATATGAAAGAGACTTTCACCCAAAATAAAGGAACTATGATCTAACTTGTCAATAATATAGGCAATCATGACATCATTAGTGCTACATTTATCAACCGTTAATGTAGATAACTTTGTTTCTAAATTTCACTCAAAAATACAGTCACACAAAACATCAGCAAGCACTTTAGTAGTGTGTGGAGTAGGAACATAAGTAAACCTAACAAATATTCATTTATCATTTACATTACAACCAAGTTCTTCACAGTTAAATCATAAAGTATTCAATAGTTAGATAAGAATAACAAGTTAATAAATATGTACCTCAAAAGCTAATTATGTAAAGTCTAGTCATTGTCAATGAAGTGAGTTATGACAGACATATATCCCTTGTTTTGATTAGTGGTTGTCCACATGTCAGTAGTTATTGCAACGTGACTTGTAGTTTTGTCAAGTGATTTCATAACTTTGGACCTCTCAGCATCATATACCTTCATTATATCAGCCTTCAATGTATTGCTAGTAATAACTTTAAACAAAGGTTGAAGAGCATGACAAAATCTTCTGAAACCAATATGATCAACAATGGAAAGAGGATATTCATGCAACACCACTATTTTTGCAAGTTCTATACGAGTAACATCTTGATTAAATGTGTAATTTTCAATTAGAATAGATTGACCCCTATTTTCAATTGAACTTGATGATTGTTCAAGAGTTTTCAATATGGATTGCCTTGGGCCCCTCATAGTAGGAAGCTTGTAAATTCAAATGTGATCATGTAAGTGCTTTGTGCCTTGCTCAGTGTCACTGCCAAGTTGTCTATCACAATGTTTGCATATTGCCTTCCATTTTTCGTTTATTTTCTCCCTTTTGAAGTGTGCCCAAGATTCAAAAGTTAGTCCTCTTTTATTAGGACTTGTCCTCTCAATAACATCTTCATTTTCTAAATGTGCTCCACTTTCTTTTGGCTCATTTTCAACTTCTTATGCACCTTCCACTAGAGTGTCTTGTGCATCTTCCACTTAAGTGCCTTGCGTTTCGTTAACAATTGGTTGTACGTCCAGTGGAGCATTACTAATGCTACTAGAGGATGAGTTACCACTATTCATTTTCATGTTAAAGTACCTGTTAAAAACATATATAATTGTGTCAAGTATACTGCACAAGGTTTGAGATAAAACTTCATGTTGGACTGATAATTTCATTAAAAAAAATGGTGTTAGGTATGAAGAACAACTGCAAGTTCTCTCAATCTATAACTATTTTTGCTTTATCCTACACCTTCAATCACAAATCAATCTCTTTTCAAAATAAGAATCAAATAAAAAATGAATGTCATGTATACGAATCAGAACAAAAATTTAATCATACAAGTCCCTATCAAATTAGTTTCTATTATACTCTAAATATAAGTATGTCAAACTGTTAATACATTTGCAAATGCAGAACACTAAATTGAAATAAATTTTACACACTGGAACCAATTTAAAAACTTTTTGTACAAGAACAAAATAAAAATCAGCAATTCACATACGGACTAAATGTTTTATTAAACTTAAAAATTATGAAGATACTAGAATTATGTTCATGGTATGTGTACTATTTCAATAAATAAATATCCTCTCTTTTCTTATTATAAAAAAGGACCAAACAAAAGGACTAAGAAAGTACCATTGGAATAAGAAAATGCAGAATAACAACAACAAGAAACAAACCTAAATCGATGAAATGAGAAGAGAGTGAAGGGACAAATTGCAAACACGAACGACAATGGTGAGAATGCAAACAACGGTGGCCTGAATATGAAGATGTAGAGCTTGACATTGGGAGGCAAAGGTTGCAGCTGTCGAGCAACAAATTCATTAAGAGACTTAGGATTTTTTATATGTGTTTTTATTTTAAATAAGTAAGTTACTATATTATCCCTATTAGTATAATGTTTAATAAGGTTATTTAAGTATTTTCATATATATTCAGGGATTTGGAGAACCCACTGGGCGGGTGAACTGGTCCCCGTCCCCGTCCCCAAACTAGTTGCAGGGAAATTTTCATCCTTGTCCCCACGGAGGGAAATTCCCTGCATTTGGAGCCTTATTCGGGGCAGTCCCTGCGGGGACCCCACAGTTGGGGATTAATTGCCACCCCTAAGCCAGAGTAACTCTACTAGTAAGAGAGAAGGAGTTCATTTTTCAAAGGGCCAACTTTTTCTTGATTTTGTCCAAGATAAAGGATAGATGAAATCTAGCAGGTTTCTGGTGAAGAATAGAAATCCCTAAATAGGTACCAAGCTACCCAACAGGTTTAATAGCTAAAGATTCACTAATATCCTTAATGGTGGAGACATATTTGTGTTTAGAGAAGAAAAGGGAAGACTTATCAGTATTAACTTTTGGAAATTAGCTTTAGCAATAAGGATAAGATCATCAGCAAAAAACAAGTAAGAAAGTTTAGGCCCTTGAGACCCAAAGGAGAAGGGAGCCCATTCTTCATTAGTAACTTTATCCCTAATGAGATGGGCAAGTCTTTCTATACAAAGAACGAATAAATAGGGTGATAAAGGATCACCCTAACAGATGCTTCTAGAGGGAGTAAAAGGAGTAAAGAGATTATTATTCCAATTAATAAACATGAAAAAGAAGGATAAATAGTGATAGGTCAAATTGACCATAGTTGAATTTAGACATATATTATGAATGGTCTCATAGACAAAATTCTATCTCAACTTGTCATAGGATTTTTCAAGATCAAGCTTAATAATCATATAGTTAGATCCACGTTTAAGATTTTGAAAAGAATGGACTAATTCCTGCAAGACAAGGACATTATCAATGCCCTATTTCCTAGGAATAAAACTAGACTGGTTGGCTGATATTAAATGAGGAAGGGAACCCCTAAGCCTATTAGCAAGAAGTTTTGTAACAATTTTATAACTGACATTACATAACAAAATTGGCCTAAAATTTTTAATAACCTCAGGGCTCTTTACTTTAAGAATAAAGGTTATTACTGTATGATTAACAACAGCAATTCTATCAAGATTTTGAAACAGATCAAGCACAAAATTAAATATAATAGAATATAAGGTATTTTATTAATTTTTAAAAAATAGGGCATGAAGTCCGTCAGGAACAGGGGATTTAAAATTCTCTATGCTAAAAAGAGAGGTCTTAACCTACTCAGTGGAAGGGACAGCAGAGAATCTCTAGATGTTAGAGTCTCTAAGAGAAGGAAAATAGGACTGGGTCCTCAGGTGGAAAAAAATTATTTTATACTCTTATTTATTATAAATTTTTATTAATGAAATACTTGTCTTTTACTTTTAAAAATAAATACTTGCATTTATTTTATATATAATACATTATTTTGATTCTTTAATATTATAAATACTTTTAATATAAAATATAAATTTATAACATATAATTACTTTTTATTATTCTTAATCAATTAAAATTTTAATTTTTATAAATATGACCAAAATAATATTATTAAACACTTCTCTAGCATTAAGTAATGCTATAAAAGTTTTAAAATAATGATATTTTTAACTTTTTTCTTAATATATTTTTTCTACATATTTAACTATCAAATTATCATAAAGCTTTTAAACAACTGGTAATAGTTTCTTTAATTGCTAATAAATCATTACTAAGTAATTATTTAATTTTGTCTATTTTAAATATTTAATAATTATCATTAAATTTTTTCATCAATCAAATTATATATATATATATATATATATATATATATATATATTATAAAAAATATTACACAAAATTAGACTAATCACTCAAAACTAAACGGGATAAAATCACATTAATTACATCTTCATAAATTAAAAGTTTGAGTTTGGTGAAAATGTCCTCTAACACATTATCACCTAAGGATAAGGAATGACCCAAACCAACTAAAAAATCTGCATATCTAATTTTTCTATAAATATGAGTAATAGAAATTGACCAATCTAAATTAATGAGTTTTTGAATCTATTCTATAATTTGAAAACAACAATGTAACAACCACTGCAAGTAAAATTAGAAGCAATCAAAGAATTCACTCTACCTATAGCTCCCAAATACTCATAGTGTGAGCAAATTTTTGACTTACTAAAATTTCTCATAACTCTACATGAAATACCGAACAACAACCTAAGTTGAAGATAAAATATTTGATAAGTTTCTCAAAATTGTCTCTTAAAATATACTTGCACGTCACTTGGCTCAAATTTAGCATTGATGAACCATCTACATTCAACTTAGTTATATTACCACACGAAGCTATCTATCTAATATCCTACACAGTACAAATTTTATTTGTGATGACATTTCCTAACATATCATTCTTCTTCATGCATGCAACAAAGTTCGTCACATCCCATTTTAGCAACTACAAGGTTTTATACTTTTAATTAAAAATCATATCATTTTGGTCTAGCCATATTTTCCAAGCCTATACTACGAACATATCCTGCCAATGAACATTGTCTTTAAGCTTGAAGTATTATTGAAGGTTGAGTCATAATCAATCATATATAATACGGCTAAAAGATCTATCTAAGAGTCTTCATATATATAGGTTTCAAGTAATTTTTAGCTTATGGGCAATCTCTCAAAACATTACTTATCTCCTCACAAAGATTCCAACATTTCGGATACTCCTCACAATAGACCCTCTATGAGAATATGAGATAGCTCAATTCTTGTGACCAAACTACCATGCCACAACTTTTATAGGAAAAGCTTGACTCTAGGTGGGCCATGCAAGTTCCAAATAAGATAACCAAATAAGATCCTAATTGTTTAATAAAACCAGTACAAAAGCTTTGATTATCTCTCATTAAACCTCAGCAAGCTATTAGCTCATATATTGGAACATAGATTGAATAATATTAACTTAATGTGTATCACTCATTATTACTGATAATAAAAAATGTGAAAAATTTTAAGATCTTCTCTTTCAAAGTGAAAAGTATGTCACTCACCATTACTGATCATAAATTAAATGTAATTAGCTAATATTTCTAAGTAAAGGACAAAAATGTAAAAAGATAAAGGATTTCATTGAAGAATATTCCTAAAAGATAAAAAGTTACCAAAAAGATTATCATTACAATTAATTTAAAGAAAAAATGCATTTAAAAATTAGACTATGTAACATTTTTCAAACTCAACCATATCTAATGTCTTTTTAATAAAATTTCCACTATGTATATCATAAGCTTTATTAAAATCTAATTTTAGAATCATAAATTGAGTTTCACTTTTTAGATTTCTAAAAAAGTAGATTAACTCTTAAACAATAATTACATTATCTATCATTTATGTTCTGGAGACAAAATTACGTTGATTTTCAATAATTAAAGTAAGAAGAAAAAATTATATTCTATTAGCTATAACATTTGTAACAATTTTATAGATAACATTGTAAAGGGAATATTGACTAATGTTTTCTAATTTATGACCTTTAGGAATAAGGGTTAATATAGTCTTATTAACAACACTAATATTTAAAGGATTGACAAAAACTTAATTTATGAATTTAAAAATGTGGGATTAAGTAAGTTTAATTTGGATTTCAAAAACAATGCATGTAATCCATTCAAACTAAGAGATATATAAATTATACTAAGTAGGGCAGATTTACCTCTATAGAGACTGCCTTATTAATATACTCTAAATTCACCTCATCAATTCTGTTAAGAGAAAATGAGAAACAAATTTGACTTAGTTTAATTTCTTGAAAAAAAATT